ACTAAAAAAAACAGGCCCCCCCCCCCCCCCCCCCCGCCTAACAAACATCCTGCATAAGTGATTTTTGCCTAACAGACCAGCTATATGCAGGCAGTTTTTCATCCCGCCCAACAGAAAAAATCAGCCAAACAGACTTCTATTGCTGGTTTAGAATTAGTGTTGACAATTATAAGTTTCAATTTTTTATGTAATTGAATTTGTCCAAAGGACTTCTTGTCCAACAGACTTGTCCATTGCACAATCTAAGTTCATTATAGACGGGGGTTGACTGTACTAAGCACTACAATACTATACAATTACAATATGTATTGTAAAAGACAAAAATGTTGGGTAAACCTTCGTAATATTAATTGAGAAGGGGATCATTGGATCATTATGAATAGTATAATTAGGGGCCAAAGTTGGGAAAAATCCCAGAAAACAAAATCTTTCTTGCCCTAATCTCTCAATCCTAATCTTACAACAGGAATGCAGAAAAAATGCCCCCAACAGTAACTTCTTTTATTATTCTTTTCCTGAAAACTTGTCTGCAGGAATGCTAAAAAAAATTTGGGATTTTTCCAAACTTTTGCTCTTCTGACCATTCTTGTTTCCCCCTTTCTTTCTGCTACTTGTGGTGTAAAATTCTGTGGATAAATCCCGGCACTGCTGCCCACGGGTGCCATGAAGTCTTGCAAACAAAACTTTCTTGAGTCTGAAAAAATTTTATGAAAATCTCGTCCCAGTCCACAGACATTTTTTTCGGAAATTCAACTGTCCTCAGAAAATTTCATTGAAATTTGTTAGTCTGCGGGCCAAAAAGATGAAAGAAACTGGGAAATCAGACCAAATTTGCCCAACATATTTAAATCAACAGATGCATGCACTGGGACATGAGTCCCTCTTATTCCCAATTACTTTCCAACTTCATTTCAATAAAAAGCATCATTATTATTGCTTTGAATATGTTTGTGTTGTGTTTTTGAGTTATTGTTTTAAATCTTGCTAGTTTTGAATTGGTTTTGGAGATATACAAGTGAAAATGCCCAACAAGAAAAAAAGAAAACTCATCACTCTTGAAAAGAAAAGTTCGAATTTATCGAATTGTGAAATGGGTTTCTGGTCTTGCAACTTGAAAACGAAAGTCACGCATCTAGCTCATGTTCAGGACATTGAAAACCATCCAATTCCAGCAATAAAGCAGCTTTTAATCATGGCAAGTTGATTCTTTCAGAACACTGGAGCTTGTATACTGGTGCATATTAATGCCGTAGATCAGCGTTCTGAAACCCCAGGCGTGAAATCCTCCAGCGCCTGTCCGTTGATTTTTTGGGAGTAAAACACATGTTTTCGAGAATCACCCTCATCCCAAAAATTGACCATGGCACAACCGTGGCTCATTCATTAATTAATATTGTCAATCCCTTGCAAACAACATTCTCCTGAAAATGAGAGCCATATTTCTAGGTATGCCCAAACCATTTGGATAAACGCATCCGGAAGTGTCCAAGACCAACTTGATCCGTGTTGCATCAGCTTTGGCTTGGTGTGCCTGGAACCGCAAGTGAGCTTGAATGTAATCATTTCTTTGTAGAGTTTCCTGGGCTATCGTGAAGGTTGGTTCAACTCCTCTCTAGAATTTGGTAATTCTCTGGTGTAGATTTAATGAGCCTTCTTGGTTCGTTTTTAATCACTTTAAATCAAATGAAGGAGTACAATATACAGTATCTTCTTTCACTGAATCGCTCGAGTCTCACCCTTTATAATGCCAAATTTTTTATGGAAAAAATGATCGGACTACCTTGTACGGACTAACTTTGCTAAACTGCATTAAACTAACACGGATTAAACTTGTATACAGTAATACTGTACACAAAAACTTGCTGAAGCACTTCAGATCTCCCACCAACCATTGTTCTGGGATGCGCGCGATCTTGTACAGTACACAGTTACACTTCACATCCCTGCCAGTGAACGACTTCCACAATCAGTGCGGACACATTTCGGAAAATAAAATGCTGTAAGAAGTTTTCTGGAACGTGACAGTTTTACTTTCCGGATTTTCAAGCACAATTTTCCCGAATTGCGACTGAAAACGACGAGATTGAAACTGAGATGAGCAAACAGTTCCCTTCACTGCATTTTCGTGGAACCGAGGCGCGTTCACACCCTCTAGAATTGGTAGCATCCAACTAAAATCTAAGCAGAACACTTTCCACGACAACATGTACAACTCCCATCAGGCGGGGGAAACTTAACCGCCAAGTAACACATCGGCTAACGCAGTAAAACCACAACCGAATCTTGCAGATAACTCAGAACACCTAATAAAGGCACGAAGCCTCAGAAACTAATTACACGCCGAACCAAAAATCCATCTGTACAAAGTCCTGAGAACAGGGATCGACTCGGCACGCTTCAACTACACTCACTCGGTAGACCCATGATCCACACGCCAGGAATGCTTCTCATTTCGCATTTGACATCACAAAAAAAGGAAATAAAAGGGAATCCAAAATTGCCATCCCACTTGAGAATGAACAACGTTATACAATCACATCCATCTCCCACAAAAAGCAACTGGCATCTGCATCCGGACGCAAAATAAATCTCTTTTGAAACTTCACAAATCCGCGACAACGCATAACTAATGCTATGACGACAGATTCGCTTCCTCATGCTTCACAGACACTATTTCGAGATCGCATGGAGTATGGGGTTCGTGGAGGTTAGATCAACAACACGTTACCATCGGTTCACATCTTTTCAATTAAATGTACGGGCCAATTCAAGCTGACATCAGCAAGCGTCTCACACTAGGCTTGGAGTTTCATGAGTTCGTTTCCCCAACTGCTGAAATTTGACAGATGAAGATAAGTATCACGTTATTGAGATCCTTTCAAGAGAGCAAATGTGACTGACACACTGATCATGTCTCCAGATAGATAGGATTTACAGTTTTGAAACTTAATCAAGGTTAAAGTAATCCACAGGGAAATTATCCCAGGCGAGACGGTTTCTGATGCAGCTTTTTCTACAACCGGAAAAGCAATGCGATTTTCCAGCCGCAACACATCTGAAGGAATTGACCGTTCAACGAAAGAGGCCGAACAGCTTCAACAGGAACGTTGCTCATTTGCACTTTGACGAGATCTCTGGCATTTCAGCTCATTCGGAATGACTAGGGCGTTTAGGAACTAACTGGAATGTTACTTTCCCGCAATTTTCACATGATTTCCAAGAACCACAATAGCGAAAACTTAGGTTTCAAAATAAGTAGTACCTTTGCATAAACGGTACACGCTCAGGATTCCATCCCATTCCACAAGCAGTGACAACCGGCATGAATTGCGACAACCATTAGCCAACACCCTCGGACAACGAATCTTCCTGATTTTCATTTCAGGGTACATTCGCGACTCGAAACTTCAACTGTATGATTTAATATCAGTATGATCAATATTCGCATACTAAATCAAGACACGGAAGACCAACAAAACAAAACAAAAAATAGCAGAATAATGACTGGAATGTCTCGGAAGCTCCCCAGAAAGTACAATGCCTCCTAACGCAGCTGACTACCAGAAGGCACAAACACGGGCAGGCGATCCTTCGGTCGCGACATCGGTTTCACAAATGAGAAAACCCTCATGCGGATTGAAAATAATTGAAAAAAAAAAAATTCCGTGGCGGAGACTCGGCTTAAAGTGAAGATTTCTCACTCGATTAACCAGATCCTTGGATTGCATCGGCGAGGTTCCAATCGTCACAGTTGAATCAACGGGGATACGAGAATCGAAGAAGTGGACGACACTCTTCAAGAAGACTTTGAGTATCCAGCAGCTTTCATTAAAAATGACGCTTTTCCTTGTGACGTAGAAGCAGTGCAAGCAATGCCCGGGGGAGAACCAGATGTTGACGCACTCTCGAAGTTGGGACGGTAGTGGCACTTGGCAATATGTCTTGCCCTGATACTCGTGGCCACGAAACACTCGTTGCAATAGTAACACTTGTACCTATCGTAAATCGACCGTTAAATCAGATCGATCATATAGCCAGGATCGTATTCTTTAGAAGAGCGATCTTCAGATAACTTTTTCAAGTCAACGTTAATGCAGAAAATCAAATGTTGAGAAAATTCGAAGACTTATTGAACTAACGAAAAGTGTGAAGACCCGAACTACCCTAAAATCTCGAAGTGCACAATACCTCGAATAAAACTTGCGCCTTCAGTCAAGGTTACAAAACATAGCGACCTCTTCATTTTCAGTTAGCCTTCAATGGATTGAATTCTAGGCACGATTCGTTTGAGCCCCAATATTCGGAGCTATGCTTTAGTCGATACTCGCCAAACGTCATTCCCAAAACCGCCTTACTACATCCGAAGGAATTTCCAATTGAATCTTTCTCAGCTGCCTCAGTTCCAGAAATTTTCAGAAGCGTAGGGATTACAATAATGTACAGTATTTTAGATCAGTACATACTTGAATCTTTCTCAGCTCCAGAAATTTTCAAGAGCGTGGGGATTACAATACATTATTAAGCTTACAAAGGCAAAAAAAAAATTCTGTGTCCCAATGCACTCATCGTTTTAGTAGGGTATACCTTTTCTCGCCGGTATGGAGACGCAAATGATCTGTCAAGTGATGCTTCCGTTTGAAAGCCTTCATGCAAACATTGCATTGAAAAGGCCGATGCTCCTGTGTGGACTCCTCCAAACTTTGACAGCTTGAATTGCTAGTTATCTAACGCAAGAAACCCCAGCGTCAAAACGTGTGGTGCGCGGAAACCAGGTAGCATTCTCATAAGAAGAAAGGCAATTACTTTTTGGTTTACCTCCAGCTGGCGGGCAGCCATATCAAGGAAACGACTTTGAGTAAGATCCATTTGCTGCAAGGCCGTATACTCCCTGGCCAAATGACGTTTCAGGTGTTCAGACAGGTACTGACGAAGGCGGAATCCTTTCCCGCAAAGTGAGCATTTGTGCGGACGCCTCGAGCCGGACTCTCCAGGTTCCTGCAACATAGTAAGCCACCACCACGGAAAAGTTAACCCAGTCCACCACCATGATGAATGCTGCAAGTCGTACGCAAACAAGATTTATTCAAAAGAAATTTGCGAGACAATCCTACAGTGGGAACGCCTACCAAAAAAATTGCCCAGGGTTCTGCTATGAACGAAGAACAACTGGAAAAAAATGTCCGCGAACTTTCCAGCATAACTGATCTTATTGATCCGCGCCGATGAATCCTGAAAATTACAATAAATTACCGCCTGCAACCAAAACCTACGACCTGCCAACCTTGCGCAAAACACGCATGCGAAACATCACATCCTCAGACAGACACTTGAGTTCATTCAGAAATTCGTTGCGTTTTTTGTATAACTTCCGATATTTACAACCTCGAGATATTCCAGTAGCCGTGAGCTGTGATATTTCATCGGAAGCCCGTCAGGGACTTCAACATACAACCTCGTTGGGACTTCCATCAGTTCAGAGTGAATCACTCTACGAGCCATGGGATTACCCGTAGTCTCTTCACGAAGAACAGAAAACCTGGATCTCAACCTTGAAGATTCCACAATGGGAAAGAAAAACGGAAGACCTCGGGATAGGCACAAATTTCATCCGCAACAAGCAATTGCAAGAGACTATCTCACGATCCATAAAAACAAAAAGCACGAACATCTAAAGCAGCGTACACATTTCGGAGGATAACCTCGATCATCTCAGCGTTGGTGACCAAAATTCATGGAATGGTTAGGTATCAGACAATGGGCTTCAGGATAAACATCCACAAACATCACTATTCTGCATTTGGTAGAACACCGATTTGTTCGTTGTTTGCACGCGGATGAAATGGAATGTTCGTTTCCTGCTTAGACATGTGAACGCCTGAACACACAATTTCTAAAACTATCCAAGGACATTGAAAATACTGGGAAGACACAAGTTAATACTGACAAAAATAATACTGTGGACTTATAAGAAAAAAGCACATGTCAGTCGTGGCTCAACAGGATGAGGGAACCCAATAAATGCCTTTAGAACCGAAAAAACCACTCGTTTCAAAACATGCGCTGACCTGCGTGCGGTCTGACGCGTCAAAACCGCTACGGGTATTTACAGACACAGGAGAGAATCTCAGGAATTTCACACACAACCTTCAGTTACATTGGAATCGGAGCAACAAAAATACTACCATTAAATGAACATTCGAGCCGAGTACGTCACGTTGCCCAAACGAGCACGGACAAAACCGCCGAATTAATGGAACGGAATGTTCGGGTTGCGAAGAAACAAAGGCCAGCCTCTGTCATGTATCGTATTTGATTGATTTTGTTCGCCATCATTAAAAAAATTCTCCGAAGTAGTTTCCTAGGATCACTCCAACGAGATTCGCAATGAAGAACAAAATTCCTGCCTCTTTAGCATTCCCACTTGAGCCCATAATAATCGCGCCACACATCACTTGAACCACCCTTCACTAATACTGACAAAACCGCCACCGCGAAGAGTCTTTAACCAATAAAAACCGGATCGACGTTTAAAAAAATAGAAAAAATTCGTATTCACAAATGTTGCGTTAAATACTTCAGATCTTTCAAGCGAAGAGTGAGGATAAACATCTGGATTGGTCGATCCGAACGCATCGAAAAAGCCCATTTCGTGATTTCAACTGCAATGACTTTCCGAAAAAAATACTGTTATTTACGGGTGGATTCACCGACGACAAAATATTCACTGAGACTGCTTTCCTTTAACACAACAGTCGAGATCTGTCGCCGTAAATGGCGAAGTTCCAGGAGAAAGAAATAGAAGTAAAGCTGTTTCTTGAGCTTCAGATCAATACTTTTCGTTTCCTCGTCACGTTCAACTCTTTACAAGTTTGCTGCACTCCACAACTTTACTGGAGCTTTATTTGGGACGGCCTAATATCAAATTACGCAACACCCGACGGTTCCCTTTTCCTGGGTACTAGTGCGGGAATGCAGCGAAATCCTGAGGATAATCACACAACATCAGCATACGCCTCAGGGGCGTAGGGCGAAAGCATAACAAGGCTTTCTTTCATCCGCGGGCTGAGGTTCTGATTCGACAGCAGGAACTTATTGAGATACTCTTCAAAAGTGATTCCCACGTAAAGCAGCGCAGCGCGGTTGAGCAGCATCGGCGGAGCTTTGCAGAAAACGACCGAATTCTGGAAGTTCACTATAGTTCCCATTTCCATTTCTTCAAGCTCGCTGAACAGTTTCAGCAAGAGATTTCGTCGTTTACGGAACCGGACCGAGTAGCGCATAACTTCGCGGATCGTGATAAATGGTCCCGGACGCAGAAGCACGTCACGGCCAACGCGGCTCACTTCCAACTGCCCATCACACGGCACCTCCATTTTGACAGACGGTATGCGTTTCGGACTCTCGCCACCACTGCCCGAATCGTTTTCTTTCTTAATATGCCCAATGCTCGTGTTGTTGTTGATGTTTGGTTTCTTCTTCTTTGGTTGAACATTCACCAGGTCCGTAGGATTGCGAGAGCCAATCAACGCAAGTGGGGGAGGTAACGTCGGATAGTTCTTGCGACCAGAGCAGTGCGAGGACCGCGGCGAGTTGGCGTTTGATGATGTCGAGAGATCGACTGGCTTCATCGAAGCAACAGCCGCATTTTCCTGTTTCTTGCATCCCAAGCCGAAGTCTGACATCCGCAACGACGTTTGCATTCCACGCTAATGGACAAGAAAGCACAACATATAACAGAACGACTACCATGCGACGTCAACTGGGCCAATCCGCGAGGGAATTCCTCGACGAATGGAAGCAGAGTAATGACACATCACAACAGAAGAGCGAACTGCAGGAGTGCAATACACGTATTACTATTTAAAAGCAACAGTCACTGCTAAAAATGAGGAAGAATAGCCTTTGCAATTTCAACTATGAGCTAGAAAATAAGCTGCAACAATCCATCTAGAACAAATCCACAGAAGTGCACAAAACACAGCATATCCAAACGTGGCGCAAGCAAAAACCAAGAGCGACAACACAAAATTAAATGAACGCTTTTCACCTTATGCAGTCCCGCATAATCCATTACCTTCATCTGAAACGAAATTAAACACCTGCTCCTCTTCGAACAAGACGTAATCCTTAGTAAGTTATGTTCGCAAACACTCGATGTCACTGGAAACTCGAGTAGAGATACAAATTGAACTAACCGTTTCATCCTTTATGTTTGCAGCATCGCTGCACCACTCCTTCCCCAGATCACCACTCCGATTTCCCAAAGCGTTCAAGCAGCCGTCTACGGAATCGTCAATACAATCTTTCTGCGGGGATAACGGATCTTCATCGTTGACGTCGTCCGTCGGAGACAACGGATCCTTCTCCGAATCGACTTCATCGGCTGCCAACGGGTCTCGGTCATCATCATCGTCCTCGTCATCATGACCGTTGCCGTTCGGTTCCAGTTCCATCTTAAAAATTCGAACGTTTCCACATACAGTACTGTAGTTGACTTGCATGGGTGAAGTTCCAAGCTCAATGCCACAGCACATTGACCGCACGAGTTATCTTCCGCGGAGTTACGCAGAAAATTTGCGATGGCACATGAAAACACGGTAGACGTTACAGCAAACGGAATAATTAAATCCTGCCATGTAAATCGGTCATTCATTAGTTCCATTCAAAGAGAAAAATGGAGCTATTGACCAGCAGATCCTTCTTAAAACTGAGACCTTCAAAGAAACTCACAAATCGGATGCATTTCTGAATAATGCATCATTCAATTAAAAAAAAAACTGGGTAACAACGGTGGCAACAATGTGCAACTAACTTACGACTAGATTCGGCGCAGTGTCAGCAGAAGACGGGGAATCTTGCGAGTGATCGTGGTGGTCCGTGTAGGAATCTTCACTGAGAACACCATTTCCGTCTCCGTAGTGTGAGTCGCTGCAGGTTTTAACGCGCTTTGAATCGGGCGGACTACTCGCGTTCATCATGCCAGTGTCACTGCCGTCGCTGTTATTGCCGCTGAACTGGGATCCGACTGAGGAAACGTCAGTGACGGCGCTGGTATGACCCTTGACTAGACTTCCTCCGTCGAGTCTCCGTTTCAAGGCAGGTAGCTGAATCGATTTTGGGGCCGATGCTGGGAAACCGGATGGGACGTACAGTGATCACCGATTAAATAACAAATGAATACTGGACTCACTCGTGGGGGATGTCATTTCAATATGGGATGCAATTTCTGCAAGTTCCCGAATGCGCAAGGAAGCGGCGACCATTATGACATGTGGAAGATCGGCTTGATCCACCTCTACCTCTCCACGATATATGAAATGAAGTAATGCCACTAAATGTGGATAAGAAACATCCTTGAGGACGACGGTAGGATGCTGACAGGGGTTCTCTTCGAAAAGTTCCTGCAAGCACCAAGAGACGCGATAAAATCGGGCAGTCAAGAACAATCCAACAACAACCGTAGAAAATCAAGAATTTCGATGAATACATACTTGAAAATACGGCGAACAAGCCGACAAGATGACCCTATGCGCACGAATGGTTCCACCTTGGCACGCAAGCGTAACGTCACAAAGAATTCTTGATTCCCATAACTTCTCAAAAATCCCAATAATGTGGGAGTCATGGCTCTTCCAAGAGAGCCGCAACCCAGGGTCACTCATCGTGGAGTGGCCACAGGTAGTATTCGCATGAAAGTGATTACACAATCGTGAGCAATTCTGAAATGGCTACACTTTGCCAGTAGCGAATACGAGAAGCCTCTTTGTTCTTGTATTCAAGAGAGAGATTCATCACAAATACGCATCTACTTAGCACTCATAACCCTGAAAAGATACATTTTACATCCGATGGCTAACACGTGCATGAATTCACTTCCCGTCCAATAAGCGAATCATTTCTACGTCGCCAGGAACTCAAATTCATGGGCAATATCAATCACTCCACGTCATTTCACGAAGATCCCGAGCAATCTGAAACCCTCGATAGGCACACCTTCCGCATGTCGACGACGACGACAAGTCGCACTGGATAGTCGACACATTTCACCTGTTCCTTTCACGTTGTTCGGGCACGCTGCCATCTTGTAACGACAGGGTACTCGAAATTTTCAGTGAAGGTCGCACTCAGCTTGCTCCCTTATCCGGATTCTGAGTAACCTTGCTTAAATGCATTTTTTTGAAGTGAAAGTACCTAAGCCACGTAAAATATTCGTCGAAGGAATGTAAATCTTGAAAACTATACCCATTGGATTTGGAGATATTAAAAAGTGTTTTCACTAAATGTGAATCCCAGCTCCAAAAAGAACCTTTGCTTCTCTCCGGATCCCCTTACAGTATGGCGACGTCCCAATTTGCGCGCACGGTTGTGTATGGGGATACACAAGTGCAAGGATTCTTCCACGAAGGTTGTCTTCGTCTTGTTGCGCTGCCGAAATGAGCGAAGATGCTGAATCCTGTGATGGGGTGGCGTGAAGTGAGTGTGTCGGCTTTCCGGACCTCGTGATGGACTCATTTCACATGCTTTTCCTACGTTAAGAAGCGGGCGGGCTCACGAGACTGTCTTCCTGTGGAAGAAACGTCTTCTTCGCGAGGGAATGTGCACCGGTGTGAAAGGATTGCCGGGCGGTTGGGGAGAATTGAAAATTTGTAATGAATTATTCCGCTATGTGTGGCTCCTTGTGCTGTTGATGGGCTCAACGAGTTTGCAATTGGAACTTATGGTCAGAAATGGCCCATCTATCGATGAAAACATGAGGCACCACTTGACGAGATTGAGTTCGCTTCTATGAAGGATATTGAAACATCTGCCTGTTCATCCGCAACATTCGGAGTCCTGAGATTGACCTTGTCTTTCGAACCATTTTCGAGTATTTTTTCCGGTATGCTGACTACTCCGGGGACGGCGTCCCAGGCTTTTTTATATTTTCTATCTGCGTCTCTGTGAGTAGCTGTTATTCAGGATGATCTCAATGACGTGCTAAATTTATTTGAAGCTAGAGTGAAGAAACTTTTGAAGGGAATTTCCATTCCGAAAGCGCGAAATTCCTTGGCTAGTTGCATTGCACGAATTGTCCCCGCAGGTAAGTACGTTCCCCTGAGATTCGTGGGGTTTTGTATATTGCCGCCGGCTTTTCAAGCGAGAAAAGAAATCTGCCACATGAAGTGATCACTCGCGCGTCGGAATTTCTAGTTTGGGCAATTTTTTACGTATTCAACGAACACCCGGAGATAAGGAATGTGATCGACGCTGGTTTCATTAGGAATTGGAAATATACAGGAATTTCTTGTGCCCACGTTACTAGGAAGAGCTGCAAGCTGCCCAATCCGGCAATTTTTTTTCTTTAGTCATTGTCAAATCACGAGTGGTCATGAACTTGTACCTGCAGCCTAAATGAGTCATTCTTTTGTTCCGACTATGCTTGTAAACAATAAATAATTGAAGATAAAAATCTATGGTTATGTAAAATCGTAGTTAATTTCCGTTTTGATGGAAATGGTGTGCCAAGACTTGTTCTACCTTGCATACTTCGTCTCAGTTGGAAAGGGTTGTTTTTCGGTGTATTTTGTTGACGGGCGAATATTCTATAACCTTTTTCACTGATTCGAATTGCTCTTTTCTTCGAAGATTCGATCATTTGCACATTTTCGTTTTGTATGGTGACGGGAAAGAGTTGGAGGAAAGCACCTCAACTCTGTTGGCCAAAGCTATGTTGAAGCCGTCACTGTCCAGCGTATACGCGTGATATTGCGAAGGTTTTGAAGGAATTGAATCCTCGTCTTATTATTCTAGGAAGTGTGAGTATTTTCAAGTAATCGGTAGAGTGAGGTATGATTAAATTTAAATTTTTCAAAGCTTCTGCGAATTCTCCGAAATGTTGACGAGACCTATTGTTATCAGGGAGGTGCCGAAGTTCCTGTTGTAAACGGAATGTTCCGGTGGTCGGGAAAGGAAGCGTTCATGAAGTATCAACTGGCTGTGTTGATGGAAAATACTTGAAAGAAGCACAGACAACGTAGAACTTCGCCATGACGTTTCATCATCTACGCCTCGCCAGAAGGAATCTCGTATGGATACCATCATCTTGACAGTTCGGGGTTGATCTCCCATGTACCCGTGGTTGAGGGCATCGTTGCTGCGCTTCTCCAGTACATCAATGTTCTTCTGAATTCACTCGAGATGTTCATATTTTCGAGAGTCATTTCCTTTCCGGGATGAAATTTTCCGGATAAATTAAATATGTTGGATTGCTTGGGAGTTGTGGTTTTATGCTGTTTTCAAGGAATCACTTCCGTAGTGAAGTACAGAATTTACAAAAGCGGCCTTCACACCGGAATTTCACGAGAAAAATATTAGAAAATAACAGGGCGCTTGAAGGCAAGTGCCGATTGTTGAAATTACCGTGTGTTTTATTGAAATACAGTATTTCCTTAGGTTATCAGGTTACCTTTCTTCTTAGAACATTGTATGCGAGGAATTTTTTTATAGAAAATTGCTGCGATGTCTTGATCAAAAGCAGTGATTTATTCAATATTAAGAGATGTATGACCTAAGTGCTCTAGAAATAATTTCCATTGTACCTAATCTAATCTGCAGGAGTAATCTGAGCTTTTCCACGATTGTAAACTAGCGTTCCCCTGAACTTTGAATTGTTTCAAGCAACCTTGGTTGTAAACTTTCTAGCTCATGAAACGAAAACTGAGATTTTCCCCATAATGGTGAATTATGTTTCACGGATTACCTTTGAACATGTTGCCGGTGAATCGTTCGCCATTGATTCATTCAATCTACTCATTCTGGTAGAAAATCTTGAGATAAAGGATAAAATAAAAGCAGGAATTTATTAGCAGACCGCTTTCTTGAATCCTCAGCTCTTCGCTCCATCCGGTATGTAATCACGGGTAATGTTCAGGATTTTTTCCTCGTGGAAAACGGCACCGATACGTTTGGTAAATTTCGTGTTTATCATGTAATAAACTATGTCCGTCCTACTTCATTATTTAGGAAAAAAGTTTGTTCATATCATCTTGACTGTCCGCTAATGGGAGTTCCTGCATTGCTTTTAAAGCTCATATCGGCGTTCTTCCCGTGCACCAATATCAGAGAAACAGGCGAATATTCCTTCAAAGCATTCAGAATCTGAGAAATAGGTCTGTGTCTTTTCTATGTACGAGGGTTGTCCCATTCCTGCACGTCCTTACAATTTCTGAAGTCATGAAAAGTGTCCCTCTCGACTTACCAAGCGTTTGGTATTTCTTTGAATATCCAAGACGCTGTGCAATGAAAACTGAGAACTTTCTAGTTGCAGTCCGAGTTTCCCGCACATTTCATAGCATGTGCCGAAAATTTGGCACGAGTTTAAAAATTGCAATTTTATTGTTCTGTATAATTTTCTTTTCTTATACATTTTGAAGATGTTAAATTTGTAGATCATCCGTTTTCTTCTAAGAGAGTAAAAAGCATAACCTTTGCGGAGGAGGTAACAATTATCTGGTGTTGATTCACAATTTATCTCACCATCCCTTTGGAATGGATAATTTTTATGTCTTACAGGTACGTTTTTCAATGGCTTAAAATTAGATAATAAATATGCAATTTTAATTGCTAGCGGTGGGGCATTTCTGTGTGAAGTCCAACCTGAGAGCCGCTCCTATTCCGAGTATTGGGGGTGATTGCTGCCCAACTTGCTTGCGGTGCACTCCAAATGGAGTTTGATGAGATTAAGTTTGGTAGCAGTACTATAGTACGAATAAATTTATAGAATTATTCGATTTCTGGATTTTTCTTCCTTCAGAAGAACAGCGCAGCAAGTTCGATCCGTTTTCCATGCTGTATTTCGGTTTAGGATTCACTATACCTGTACGTGTTATATCATGGCGCGAAACGTCTTCGATTATAACCTGCTTGTTATACTGTAGATTTCGGGAAGTGACTATTTTCTGGGACGTCGTGAATATTGCCATCTCGATCCCTCCAGGATGCGGTTGTCCGTGCCATTACAGTATAAGAAAATTGCGGAATCTATTTGTCCCTTGTGCAACTTCTCGAGAACGTTGATTCACCGTCGTTGGGAATTTATGACTGCAAGTTACTCTGATTTCTGTGCTGGTTACTGCAATGCACGTGGATCAAATCTGGAGGAATGCGGCAGATCTGAAATTGTCCAAGCTCGTTATGTCGGTCACATGTCAACCGATCTTCGCTCAACACCCGTGTGGTCTCAATCTGACAGTGGTTATCACTTCAAGGTGAGATTCCTACCATAGTACTATTCGATTTTCGCATTCAGTTAATCAATATAACGCTACGATTACGAATCCGTCGGTTCTACTGTGAAATGATGATCGGTTGGTGCTTGGTATTGAGGTAATTGATTCCTAGTACCCGAACTTCGAAAACGTGGAGATTGACAATTATTGTATAATCAGGTGTATAGTATTTTGCCATCAAAAAGTTCCGTATTTTCTGTTTGATTTACTGAAGTCGTGGACGTTCCTTCGCATTATAAATTGATTTTCGTGATGACCTGTGCACCCTGAAATAGCAACGTGGATGCGAAACGATGTTGATATTCCATCCGAGTATCCAATATTTTTGGATTAACTGGATCTGTCTTCTCAAGCTTATACACGTCACATTCGTCATAAACGCGTCATTTTTTGGGAGAAGCCTTGAAAGGCGGAGTGATTCATTCACTGACCCTAAGGGAAGTGTGGATGATGCTGGTCGTGCTCGTTGCCGGTGTTGGTTTGTTCTACGAGTGTCGGGTTGCAGTGATCTTCCTCGCACACTATATCTGGAATGCTTGCTCCGTTGAGAGGGAAAGTTTTGAGTCCTAGTCCATCTGACAATGCTCAAGTCGGATCCCGGAACGAGGAAGAACAGGATTTGGTCCAAAGAAAAATATAGAGGAAATCATACAAGGGCGATGAGATGACCGCCGAGTATAAAGCTTGTGACAATCCCTGGATGACTCAGTAGGACAGCCAGGGACTACCAAGTGGCCTTGGACGAGATGGTGTCCCCAAACGCTGGAAACCAGGGGTGAGCGCGAAAGAGAAGCAGCATTGCTCCATCTTGTGATTGACGAGTAACTGCACTTTTCTATTTGGGAAGTTTTTCTTTCAGCGTTGGATCCTCAGTGAGAACTCGCCGCATGACAGTACGATATTTCCCCACTAGCTAGGCCCTTAGCTGTACTGTAAATTGACATAGCCTTGATTTTGAATGAACTTCAATGAACGGTTAGTCCTTGCTAGCATCAATGACTGTAACGTCGTGACGTTTCTTCACTATTTCCTTCTACGATTACAGTTGTCACCGTTATGTAATCTTTGCCATTCAATCAATACCTCGCACAAACAATATATTATAAACTCTTTCAATCATTCGTTCAATGATGCTTCCTAGGAAAACGTAGAATTCATTATGTGGGTTTCAAACTTTAAACCAGGTCTTCTTCTTGAATTTTTTTCATTTTTTGCTCTATCGTCTGCATCTTCTTAATCTCTGTTCTTCATGATTCCGGCATTTGGCTTATCTGTCGGAAGATAGCTGATACCAAAAAAAACGTGTATGACTGATGTGTTGTCCTCTGTCCCTGCTTCATGGATGGAATGAGTAATATGTGTGTCTGCGTGTGACATGTGATCGCGTAAAGTGTTTGCCAGGTCGTGGCTTTTGATGTATTCGTCTGTTTTACTTTTTCTTAGCGAATACACAGTATTGATATGAATTTTCCCACTGAATTCTATGGGTGAAAGCAGACATTCAAACGGATGGAGTCTGAGAGGTAATTATGTCTGCATCTTGGGGCCCGGCTGTGTACTGTATTTTGATTCCATTTTCTTGGATATTGGTGCAACAGGTCACCCTCAAATTTCTTAAGGATCCATCGTCCAAAGTACAGAGCATTAACTTTGTTGACGTGTACTTTCCAGATGCTGGTTTTTTATTCAACGCGGATCTGAGATTCGTGCGAAGTGATGGCTGGATTTGTTTTCGTTGAAAAACCAACCATGTCTGTTCTTCGGGAAGTGGGTATTTTCTGGGACATCGAAAATATCCCGATTCCGAAAAATGCGGATGTGCGTGCAATGATAAGTGAATTGCGGAATGCATTTGTCCCTCCTGCCACTTGTCGAGAACGTTCATTCACCATCGTTGGGAATCTTACATTGATGGCTGTGCGAGTGCGAGCTACTCTGAATTCATTGCAAGTGACGCTGATGCACGTGGAGCAAACCAGGAAGAATGCCGCAGATCTGAAATTGTCCGAGCTCATGAAGTCGTTCATTGAGGATGTTGGTCGCATGTCCGCCGATCGTCACGTAATGCCCCGTGTAGTCTTAATATCAAGTGATTATCATTTCAAGGTGAGATCCCTACGGTAACGCCGAGTAATTTTTAGGTCCTCGCCTAGAAGTCCCTGCATGGGTGGCGGGGCTACGCATCTACCAGGCGAAGGAGTGATGGTCAGTTGGAGCAGGAATTGAGATGTTCTCAGACCTGACAAGTGTCTCACATTAAATTTGTTTATTAATTTACGAGTGATCCAACAGTACTGTACAGCTCAAAATTGAAAATCATCCGCGTCAGGCCCTGAATTAAAGATAGAAAATGTGAAGTGTAGCAAGAACTAACGACGGATTAATCTTCCATATGCACCATCCAGTTATATTTTATTGCCAATAAGCCAGCCCAAAAGTATTGAGGAAAAGAGGAAGCAATTACGTTTGCCTGAGCCCGTTACTTTCTCAATCCAACTGTCATGTCTGTTTTCGACTGGATTATACTCTGTACTGGTTAGTGCAAGGGACACCTGGCATATGATTCATCCTCCACACCTTTCAGCAGTAGAATGTTGAGAAAATTTGTAACCCTTATACAGTACCTGTACATATATCCTCAAGGTTAGATTATTCGTTCACAGTGGCACACTTTTCTAGCTTGTAGGTACCGTATAAGCTTGGGAAACACTCCTAAAATAAAATTCCATGTATTTTTTATCAGTAAATCCTTCAGTTTATTCCAACCTGCAAATTTCTGTGATTTTGTTTCTAGGCAGAAAATCTTGACAGTTTAGTAGTAATGTACTGTAGGATCAATGGTACAAGAAAAAAAAATGTGATTCCGGTCCAGTCTACATTCTGCACCAACTGGTCACCTACATGTTCTTCCTCACCCGTTGGTCGCTGTTGTCCCACCTCTTCGCGGGGTCTTCTTGTGGTGGGGTCCATTTTGTTGTTGTAAACTTACGATCTACATTTTCGTATAGTGTTCGACGTTCGTCAGAAACAATTTACTGTTGAAACGTACTGTTTATTTGTATAAAATTACTTTTTGGTACACTTGGTGCTGACTTGCTTTTTTTCATACAATTTTTTCATGTCTACTTAATACTACTCGTCTTTACGTTTGTCTGTTGTTTATTTGACGACGAACAAGTTCAGTATTTCAAGTTCGATATCCTGAGGAAGTTTAAGACGATGCCGTTCTATGTTCAACCTATTTTCAGGATGACCTTTACACCTTGAAACTGAAACGTGGATGTGAAACGATCTTGATACACCATCCGAAGATCCAAAATGAAATGCTGGATTTTTGCTCTCAAGCTTATCCATACACGTCATTTTTTGGAAAAGCCCTGAGCGGCGGAGGAACTCAGTCTATGACTGAGCCTGAGGGAAGTGTGGATGAAGCTGGTCGAACTCGTTTCTGGTATAAGTTCGTTTTACGAGTGTCGGGTTACAACGATCTTCCTCGTCAAACGTTATCTGGAATGCTTGCTCCGTTTGGAGGAAAGGTTTTGAGTCATAATCCGACTGGCTATGCCAAGGTCGGATTCCGGAACAAGGAAGAATCAGATTTGGCGAAAAGCAAAATACAGATGAAATTATTCAATGGTGAAAGGCTCACCGCCGAGTATAAAGCTTGTGATAATCCTTGGATGCAATCGGAGAGCCCACCTAGCTCTGAGCAGAACTCTGGCTCCGGTTTTCGCGGGACGCGTTTCAACACGCCGAATGAACGTGGAAATCGGCCGCCTCCATCCCAGGCACGAGTTCAAGTTTATCACCAGAAACCGGTTGCCTCTGTGGTATTGAATGCGAACTCGTCCAAGATGCGGTCTAAGAAATCCGACAAGGAAGTAAGTATAATGCATTTATTCAATTCAGTCTTCAGGATTTTCGTGTTGTGTTCACGAATTAGCCGTGAAGGAATATAATTTGAATGATGAAAATAATTTATTTGCGCCTCTAGGGAAAAGACCGGGATGGGTGCATCGTATCGTAGAGAAGCATTGTTTTGATGATCGCGTTGGGGGAGAAGTATTTTCCGAGATCCGATCAATCAATATGCAAGTAAGAAATTTCGTATTTTCTGGGTCAATGCTTCGTGATCGACTGGAGGGTGTATGGAGACGCAAATCGTGGAGAGATATTGATTCGTATGTGCAAGCGACTATCGCACCATACCCTTCGGATCAGAGTGGATGTTATCCGTAAAGATGTTTCTCGTGTGCAACTGTTGAGCTTTCCGATTCTTCGTGTTCTGAGGTGAAGAATCAGCTGAAAATCGATTGTAGCTAGCTGTAGTGGGACTTTTTTGCGTATTGTGCTGATGACATTTGTCGATGGGGTTAACCCTCTAAATTTTCTCCTCTGAGCAGTTAATGGCTTCGCCGTTCCGATAGTATATTTCAAAATCGTGAGTAGCGTGAATAAGTTGAAATGGTGATGCGTCCTACCTTTATGCGAAAATGATTACATCCGGCGATTTTGAAATCTTGAATTTACGGCGACTTGTATTACCTTTTTCTTACGTGGATTTGTTTTTGATTCGGAAGAATGGGCAATTTGAGATAATTTTTGTCGATTTCTTAATTCAAAACTTTCGTTCGGATTGAGCTTTCGGTAGCTTTCTTGGAGCTGTCGTCTGCCTGTACTGTACTTCAAGGGCGTCGGTGGAGCAGTCATTGTTCTGAACAAATCTGTCGTGAACTGCACATCGGAACATGTGACCGTTCACGGCCACCAATACAAGAATACGAAACGTTAAGCGTACAAAAAAGCGGATGCTGTATGTATACTGCTACGAGTGGAGATATTTTTTTCTGCGAGGGTTGTTCTCTTTCTCGAACCGCGACGGAAGGTTGTGTTTCATGTGTTGGGAAGGGAACGAATGAATGCATCACTGGGGAGAAGCTGTGCTTTTTTTGTGTGGAGATAACAGACGAGATCATAAACTTGTAATGTTCGTGTAAAATCGGAGTCGCATTTTTTACAGCTTCGCATATCACTGAGAGTTATGTGGATGTCCTTAGGAGAGTTAACGAGTAGCTGACGGAACCACCGCGGGCAACTTGCAATGAATTTGAATTATGTCAAAGATTGTGGGTATGCTTTATGGCAAATTTTCAGATGTTTTTCAACTTTGATTCCTGGATTTGCGTGATATTCCTTGACTTCTCTCACGCCTTGAATGTAATCTTAAATCAAATTGTGATGGAATAATCGCGTGACTGGAACTTGAAAATTTCGACGATGGACCACCATCTGTTAAGAGCTTGAGACGATGGTAATATTGCGTATCGCGATGCTTTAGATGTGGCCAGAACTGCTTCGTACCGGCAGTAAATCACATTTCGAGGTTTGAGTAAATCACTGAATGTTCGATGCTTGCGGTTTCATTTTTAGTAGGAGGAATTCTTCATTTGGAGTTTTCCGTCGCGTGTCGGGAACTCGTCTGCTCGAAGCGATGTCATTGTTCTCAATCTTATCTACAAAACTTTAGTCTTGGCACAATCTTGTATTTTTGAGGGCCGGATTGTTCGTACTGTTTTCGAAAATGGGAGTAAACTTGAGAATGGACGAAGACGTTCATGTATTTTTCTTTTTTCAACGTGCATGACCCGACATTTAATCGGATACTTAGTCAAGTCTGTTCAGAGTGCCATGAAGCTCATTGAACAAATTTCCACGGATCTTTTAGAACAACAATCATTCTAGCAGGTTTCACAAAGCCAGACAAACTACAAATGAGCAGCATACATAATATTTTCACTCACACTTCTTGAACATTCAAATTTCGCCGGTTAAAATGGCCATTAACTAGCTGTGTATGTTTCTGTAGCTTTGTGATAACTCGGAAATTATGCTTCAAAACTTGTGTCCTTGAGAAGTGTTCAATTGAAGGTCTTTCATTTGAAAAATCAGTATTTAATGCATAATCTTCTGTCAAATCATTCAAAAGCCTGCGAGGGCATTTCGTGTTGCACAAAAGAGGAATATCTCTCCGGGAAATACGTAGCACGAAGTAAAGTGGCAGTGAAGCGTCGTTGACAGGATTTTGGATTGAATTACCGCGCAGTACTAGAAAAGAGTTCAGCGGTTCACTTACTAAACGTGATAATTTGTGCATAGTGTTTTTCTTCATTTTTTCTAAACGCTACAATGTTATCGAATTCAGAACTGGTGGAGACTACCGCAACTCATGCCCTGAACTTGGTGCATTTTTTGAGAACTCTCGGTATGAGACTGGACTGTTATACAGTACTGTACTTATAAACCAGTTTTCGACCTCATGTTTGTTTATTGCCTCGTCGGGTGTAAATTTACGTTAATTGAAAATACTGTGACTCGTTTTGATATGTACGAATCCGTAACTCCAGAAGTCTGGAATGTTCGCTGATTTAATCTGAGCCGAATCGTAAGACACAGCCTTGATGTCATGCTGAAGCGGGACCTGTTATGCATGGCATCAAACTTCGACCGCAACGTGCTGTATTCGTGTCACTTCTTGATTATTACTGTTGAAAATTAATTTTCTAACTTATGTGCTTGTGATTCTGCTTAAAGAACATGGGGTGTACTGTAAGTAGCCTATGTGTGGAACAAGCTGCTTTTTCTCTGGAGTTCTCATCAATCCAGCTCACTTCCTCTTGGCCTGTTTTTGAAGTTCGCTCAACCGCAACTATTGGTGATATAGTATTACAACATACATAGTTCTGGCAATGGTAACGTATCCGTGTTTGAAGGGCAAAATTGAACACAGAAGGTAATCATTTTCGAGTTACAATCAGATGAGGGCTTGAGTCGGATCTCCGGATTGTGGAGTTGGTGGCAGCAGAGCCAACGTTTTGATCGTTCCTCCATTGCAAGTTGTCTCGGTTGCCCTTGCGTTATGGGCCCCACTGTTGGCAGAGCCTGACATCCTTTGCATTGCCATTCTGTTGTGTGAGATTTCTGTACCTGTCCGATGGTGCGAACTCCCATTCTTCCCGCACAGTTCCTTCCATGTATCCTGTCAATTGGAAAAATACTAGCGTGCGTATCAAATGAGTGGATGCTTTTTTAAATGCTCATGCGATATTTTTGCGAGGGCGACTGTTTTTGGCGGAGGATATCTCAAGGATTTCGAACTTACTTGAAATGCTTTCCTGAACTTGACTGACAGAATGTTGTACAAAATTGGGTTTATGGTCGCAGAGACGTAGTACATGATCCCAGACGTGAAGTGTAATGCGGCGTAGGGAATTCGAAAAGCACTGTCCGTCTCTCCTTCATAAACCAGTGCTAGCAGCCTCTGTGCATGGAATGGTGCCCAGCACACGAAGAATGCGATGACAACAGCCACTGGAACGGAAAATACATAAACGAAGAGCCCGCATGAGTTTGAATGAAATTCCTGTTCATCTATGCGAAGACTCGTAGAAGGGAGACTTGACCTGTTCACGCCCCATGTGCTGGTTGCGATTTGCGAAAAACTAAAAATGGGTACGTAACTCGGTTGCTCAACAAAATCCTTCTTACGACAGAAAGCTTTGTTGATTTTATGACAGTCGCCAATCATCCGCAATGTGAAACACTTCTTCCCCACGTCTAGGAAAGCTCCGTGATTAAAAAAAAGCAGGTGCGTCTGCTTCGTGGTATTTTTCTGAAGTCATAATTTCAACCGCATAACTGTGTCCTCTTAAGCTGAATAAAATGTCTAGTAAGCCGGTACGATAATCGGATTTTTGAACAGAAATATGAGGCTTGTTTAACCTTCGATCTGGATATTACTCATCCTGTTCTTCGGACATGGAAACAGTACAATATTGTAAAGCAAGGAAATATATCGAAAAAATACCGTCGTTCGATGCGTGGCTCTCATTGAAAAAATTCAAAATAACTTGAAGGTAATAAACAGGCTCTAAGAAGAATGCAATCCTCCTTTTTACAGCAACTCATCTTCAATAAGCTCCCACATATAGTGACTTCACTTGCTACTGACCAGCCGGGGGAAGGAAATCCAAGGTGCTGTATGTTCGTGCTTGCGAGACGGTTTTGATCAGAATTTCCGGGTTATTGAATCTGAGGGCACATGTAACTTGAGTCATTCTAGAGCCATTTTTGTTCCTTAATTTGTTTCGTTAGGAATCTCATATCTTTCGTGACATCAGAAGTTAGGGAGAAGCAAATGGTGCGTTTCGCAATGCTCATAGGAAAAAAGCCTTTGAAGCCCACCGAAGATGAAAGCAATGATGAGGTGGAGAAACAAATTACTGTTTCACGTCACAACTATTTTGCGACGTAATCTTGTATATTTGCATCTTATTAAGCGACAAAGGTCTTTCTCATCACCAGGTCAAATTTGAGCGTCAAGTGTACATGCAGCCTGTGTTATATTGCTTTCGTTCGTATCTCCTGCGGGCGCCACCTATAGAAACTGCAACAAAATTGTAAAAGTTTGGTGAAGTACAATGTGCAGTACAATATTACGACAGCTTATTTTGGATTGACGTGCGAGATTGCATGGAAACTTCTTTTGGATGTATGTGATGTTTGTTTCAGCATTCAACAAATTATTGCGCCCGAATTGTGTTGATTTAAAATACAATATTTATGCCTCACTATGGGTCGCTCAGGTAAAGGCAGGCGGGAGTATGTACTGTACATCTTGTTTCTAACCAGTGCAGTATTACGTGGTATTCCTGTCTATCATGGTCAACTGCTTCCACCCAGTGTTATTTGGCTCTATTCGGGAATTTTGCCAAAAGGAAATGAATCATCTGACTTCACAAGATTATGTGCCGAATAACACGCGATGCGTCCAATACGAAGAGACTAATTTTAGAAGAGTGATATTCACAGAAAATAACCCTTCACAACTCTGGCTTAGGTAATCAAATTTCCCATCGTACCGATCAACTGAATTCTCACCTTAATTATAGAGAAACCCGTAGGATGGATTTTAGATGAGTAAAAAACTTGACGGCATAGATTATTTTAAACCTAGATAAAAAAAAATGATCCTAGCACGAATGGATTTGAAACTTGAATTTCTCCTCAGATCACATTACTTTATTGAAGGAATATGTTCAACGAGGAGATAAATCGGAGAGTGTGAAAATTAGGTTTCGCAGCCACATGTATTCATTTTCGATTGAAGAGAAGATGACAAATGCTAGATGAAGGCGTTTTTTATTACTATAAAATGGGAATAATTGCATAATTTTTGTTTTGTAGAATTGACCCGACGTTCGAATCGACTGGGAATCATCGAGATAAATCCGTTGCGCTAAGTTCGCGGCAGCATACCATGACTTACTGACCATGTACTATACTGAATTGGTATAAATACTTCTGAAATCCTTCGTATCCATTCAATTCTAAAGTTATCGGATTTTCGAAGTTAATCATCCGACTATGAAGCTGAAATAGCGAGTTTGCTCGAGGACCATCCCGCGCCATCGAGGCAGACGCGCACATTGGATTTCTAGCAAATATTTTTGTTAGAAACTGTTATCTAGCCTTCGAAATTCCTATTTGAATAACCGTGTTGGATAAAAAACTAAATTTAAGACCAGTTTAAAATCGAATAAATGGGGATATTTTTTTTTAATACAGCAGTTTTCCAGGACTTTCAGAAATAAGGCGCTCATCTGTGCTCTTGAAGCCGCAGTTATTCCAGTTCCATATCCCGGTACGTATTTTCAAGTCTCGAAAAATGAAGCTATTATAAAAATTTGATTTTGGCGGCAATTAGCATCACTGATCAAGGATTTCCAAGATACTCCGACTAAAAATACCGCGTGTTAAAAATTATCTCGGTCGGAGCTGTCTCTCAGTTTGAACCAACCCTATTAAGTCGAGCAGGGCATGAAATCTTCCTCTTAAGCGATCCTTTCTGTCGCTTTGAAACTTCAGTTAACGCTAGGAAATCTAATGCGCGTAATAAATTAAACTGCGATTTTTCATTCGAAAAACTTGAGGGGAAAAATTCTCCGGGCTTGAAAAGAGCGGGGCTCCTCAAATACAGCATGTCCCACTGATGTCGACTCCGAGCAACAGCGATGGAAAAATCGTGCATCTCCGGGTTTTTCAGCGTCCTGCATCAATCTCCGCGAGTGGCGGAAGTCTTCCGGGTGGTCGGACTGATGCGCCCGTGAAATCCGATGACTTAGCTGCGACGCTATACTATATATTGTATGATGAAATTGTTTCTTCTCTAACTCAGCGACGCGCTGATCTCCAGCAGCAGCTACGGACACGAGGTAGGTATATACGAGGCAATCGCGCGACGGTATGCATTATCTACAATCTGGATGGAATTCCGCTTTTCTGCAAATCCGTTTGGCGGGGCAAGGATGCAGGTCGCCTTATACTACTTATAGGATTGCTGATGTGGCTTTGCTTTCAGCAACAACATTGGATTTTCGAAATGAATCACGCGAATGTAGCGTCGAGAATTCCTGTTAGAAAAGGGCTTCTCGAATGTCACGCTTCCATTTGTATTGCGACGTTTGTGAATGGACAATGTACAAATAAACACGCTCTGTAAAACGTGAAACGCTATTTCTGTATTCTGAAGCAATGAAAAACCATATACAGAAACTGGTAAAGCTACATTTTTTAACCGCTCAATGTGTGGAATTTTATTTCGCCGAAAATTGTGTCTCCCAAAACTTCGAGTGCACCTTATACGAGAGCCCGAGATTTTTGAGACGACTCAATTGGCTCATTGCAATCTACTACATGCAGCTTATATATATATACATATATATATATATATATATATATATATATATACTGTATATATATACTGTATATATTTGAAACTAAATGGCATCTGTAAACACAGTGTAATTTTTATGTGTAAAAAAAATTAACCAACAAAAAGCAAACTTTTTCATCTTTCAATAACTACCGCTTTTATTAAACCATATTATACGGTAACTATTCTATACTCGGCGTTGCCAATTTTTCACTTCCCGTGAAATTTTGCCTTTGCAAATACTGTACTGTATTAGGGTCTGTGCGGCTTATGCATCCCCTACATTTTCAAAAATAAGGTGGCTGTCTGTATAGTCGCACGTGACGAGGAGTTTAACTCGGATATTGCCTAAGTTTCCTTAGAAATTCTTGGTCAGTGTGAGATAAATTGAATCGTTGCTTAGTGCTGGTTCACAAAGCGAAAACTCACGGACGATTTCGCGAGTTTTCATTTGAAAATGTATACTCACGCTGCGGACTTATCAGATGCAAAAGTTAAAACTTTGCCGTGAAATTTTCGTGCTGTTGTAGGTATAGATCCCTTCAGACTGATGAGGCATGGTCATCTTCAGTTATCCCGAAAGGCTGTTTTGTAATCTTTTCAAATGAGCCGTTCAAGCCTGAGAACCATAATGATATAAGCTCTTCCGTAAAAAAATAACCCGGCAGCCTTCTTCTAACAGTTCGTGTCGGTTAAACACTTTATTTATTTATATATGCCACTCGAATGAACCATGCCCAGAAATCAGAAATCCTGAAGGAATTATTAATCGATGGGTACGGTACAGTATTTCTACCGTTCTATACAATCCACGCACGGGCTTTGAAATGCAGTCACAACTTGTAGTGTATCACTTATTCTAGGTCCTGCTTGAAGAAATGCCGTACACAATAAATAATAGTGTAAATCACGATGCGAGTGTATTGTTTATTGGAACGAATTACCCGAAGCCATTCGGGGACGGATCTTCATCTGGAGCTTTCTCGATGCACGAATCTAATCTCGCTTCCATCGGCGACCAAAAGAATTTCGTTATCTGCAGTAAGACCGCGGCGGCAATCCAATAATCCCTGTGGATCTCATGACCTTTAAAGGGCAGTTTTTACCAAGTATAGGACTCAGATGAAAGAAATAACGAATCGCAGAATAAGCTTGTTGGTACTTTCGGGAGTCGCGAAGTTAGAATAACTTCGACCCATCCGACAGCTGAAAGAATTGAGAAATGAGCGCATTCATATAGGAGTGTTGCGCGATGCTTAAGCTGCGACACGTGCGTAAGTTGTCATTTTTCGAGTTTCAAAAGGTACTAGTTTATTTATTTATTTTATGTTCACTGCGCACCCGCGACGCGTGCGGTTTTCATAAGTGATCATATTTCTTCTTCCGGAGGGGAATATTTTCCGAAGAATAAAACTTTTTCAACTTTTTCACCTGCTGAAATTCTCATTGCAAGAAATATTTTCAACTACCCATGAGTCACACTTCGACTATGAATACTTTGGTAAAATACTTATCAATGTTCTCCTTCAAGTTTTCTAAAATTAGTTAAGATGAGGTGAAACTCGATGAGCAGTCTAATTAGATATACAGTAATTAAATAATAAGCGCTCGTTTGAGTACATGCATTTTTTCATTTGACGTACGTAGTGGCATACTGCATGCGAGTGAGACCCCATAAACTTTAAGTCACGTTATTCTGACTATTGGTGCTGTTACTTGAGTAGCGAACTGTAGTTTACTGGAGTGGCAAGCCCGAAGAACATTTAAAGATGCGTGGTACAGTCGAGTAAATGCAGTAAAATTCGCTAATTGAATGTCGGGTGATGAAAAAAACTCGTTCAGGTTTCGATTAGTCCGGAGATAGAGTAGATTGAGAAAAGATGTTTGCGTCTCATCGTCTCTTCTTCCGGAATTCGAACCCAACGTGCATCATGATCGATGCTCACCACAAGACGGACCACTTTGATAAAATTAATTCGGTTCTTCCGTCACTATGTACCGTCAGCTCCCTTACCTTACGTATATATGAGTAAAATCTCATTTGTCTTTCAACACTTGGCTCTTTCGAGCAACTGTTGTTTACATGAGCTTCGCTCACAAGAAACAAACCATCATCGGCGATGCCTTACACGTGATCATAAGGATCGCATTTGAATGCTATCCATTTGGATGGTATCCAAAATATACGTATCGCATGATGGCCGATATAAATATATCTTACACGACATTGCTTTTATACACTACGACGCGATAGTATGTTGAGGCGTGACAGGCGAATAACTCATTGCGAGAAGATCTAATTGATGACGCACGCGTCAGAAGCACGTACAGTAGCACAGTCCATAGTGAACAACTGGTGCAAGTGCATTCTACTTCGGATACTGATACAGTCTCCGTGGAGGATCGCGGGATATCGCCGGAGTTTCAACAAATGCTATTGTAACTGTACTCTAATAATCTGACGACGAGGGAAAAAAGAAGCCTCACAATTCCTGTTATTTACGGATAAGATAATTGGTACGACGAAGTTTCGAACTCATAAAGTGTGAGTAATCTTCCTAGTGTGAAAAGTGCGAATAATTCTTTTCTTTGGAGAATACTGTACAGCATTCACCTCCGCGAACTTTTCATGTGAAGCCCTCGAAGCAAAGGAAACCGTGTTTTCCTTCGCTTCGAGGGCTTCGCCGAACATTACTGTTTAGCTGGATGGACAACAAAGTGGGTAGACTAATGAGATCTACATATCTTGAAAGCGTTGAGCGATCAGGTTGAGAAATAAAATTTAGAACGGAAGTTCATTCAATTATCTTACGGATGTTTTCCATTAGTGTATCATCAATGCGTACAATGTTTGCAATGGCTGTGGTAGTCATACATTTGCAAGTGTATACAGTATATGGCCATGTTATGGGCACCGTAATCGAACGATGATTCAATCTACGTCAGTTTAGCTTCTTTTAACGTGAGAGTTCGAATTTTAATTCTGGCATTGAAGTGTATATGAGCGATTTCCTATAATTCGCAGATATTGTGGAAATCATCCTACTGTTGAGAACTCCTCGCAAATGTTTATACAGTATTTCTTTACTGAATTACCCTGACCACGTTAGACCATCATTTTAATGTTACTGTACTTCTTTCCGTGATGCGTGTGGGAATACCATGCGATGCACATGAAAAAAATACTTTTCCTGCAGGGCCGGATTTAAACCCGAAGTCTGATATTTATCTGAAAAGGAAAGAGCTGTTTGGAATGCACAGCCATTTTTGTAGCCTTTTCTCACCGTTTTGTGTGCCGACCAGCACCGAGTTTATATTTAGTTCATATAATTCCCGCTTAGAAAAGATAAATGCAGCGTCTATCTTTAAAACTGGAATTACATGTACAAAATAACAAGGTTATCATTTTATCAGTAAAATATATCGCATTATCCAGAAAAGACTGATATTATCAGCATTGCTTTTTTCCGAGATTGACAGCAGCTTTCAATTTTAATGTCTTTCGATTTAGGCACAAGGGCATAACATGAGTTAGCTATCGTGCAATGCTTACGGGAGTATCAGTGAGTTCCGGAAATTAATGGAATAGGTGCTTTAACCTCCGTTTACCGGAGTGAAAACTGTCAAGACCACAAGGCACTCAACGAGTAACGAGAGAATTGGCCCGTCGAACCAGATTACTGTACATTGTGTCGTCGACAGCCGACAGGAAGCACGTGAGCCCTCCAAGTCTGAGCTACGAAAACCCAATTTTTCTCTACGCTTTGCTGTACATTAATACGTCGAGAACGAACGATACGATACAAAAAACTGGGTCATTCTTTTTTTCAGCCCCTTTTTCCGACTATTTCTGACTCGAATACCACAGGTGGATAGTTCTGCCTGGTGAATTTGCCCTTCAATTGAAATTTTCAATTAAAGTTGATGGAAAAGCCTTTTCAACGCAGTCGTGTTCCCAGGTAGATAACCTGAATTTCCACAAGCGTATCGATTCACTAGAAATACCGCAATTGAAAGAAACGATGATTTCGCCATGGAAACTTGAAAAATGTTTCAAGAAAAAGGTTTCCAAGAACTTCAAAATCGATGCGCTTTCGTTCAACACAACACGCGCTGAGCAAAAGACAATTTAGTGGCGTCGAATGAGCAAGAATATTTATCAGTTAACGTTTTCTGGAAGATTTCTAATGATATTTATGCCAAGCGAATAGGAACAACGTGAAACTCAAACATTACGAGTGCGTAGGCAAAACTTCCCCTTGAAAAAAAAAAAAAAAAAAAAAACAAGAAANGGCAAAACTTCCCCTTGAAAAAAAAAAAAAAAAAAAAAAAAAAAACGCAGGTGAGGTCCAAATGAGAGAGTAAATGCGATGTCGCGATCTCATTCGAAGAATTCCAGGTTCTTCGGAAAAAAGGTGGGAAACGCGGCGACGAATTACATTTCAAAAATTCGACGGGAGATGATGAGTAGCAAAATGATAATTCTCGGGACTCACCCAGCATCGTGATGACGTTCTTGTGATTGTGGTGGTGGTTGTCCTGTCGTTGCGCGAGACTGCGTCCGGCTTGTCCCCCGGCCGTGATAGCTGAGTCATTGTTCGCTTTCCATGTGGCCTGTCGCAGGCTTACGGCAATGTGAACGTACAGCACCGTGATGAGAACCATCGGGAGCACGAACATGAAAAACGCCGAGAAAACGAAAGAGAACTTGGAGAAGGATTGAAATCCTTCCGCAACGTTACATGCCGATAGGTTTTCAATGATGGTGCCGTCCGGTAGACGCTCGTAAATCACCCTGAATGTTATCGCCTGCGGAATGGCGAACAGGAACCCGAGCACCCAAAGCGCCACGATCACCATCTTCACCTACAAATGCATTTACGCGCGCGAATCGTTTCACAATTTGTAAACACGATCTTTCCGAGGCAAATTCTACTTATTTTCTGAATGCCTATATACACAGCACTCACCCATGAACCCATAATAGTATACCTCTTGTAAGGTTTAGATTCTCATTCTGCAATAAAATATCGCGACTCTCATCATCCATAGAACAAAATGTAGTTCAACGGAGGGACGGATTTCAGCCTTTTCTAATACAGTATTGTTAATTACATTTTTCGGAGAATTTTTTCTTGAAGCCCCCGATACATGTTAATTACCCTCTTTCCCATAAATTACGCGATTTAAATTAATCTTTGTACTGCATAAAAAAAACACAGTAGGAATTACTTTAAGTGTGTTTTCTACCAAGTGAATTGTTTAATTTTTGGTCGACTTCCACTTGAAATTGTGAAGGCATCGTGGATGCCGAGTTCCTGAATATATTGGCCAAAACCCCGAATGCTGTTTGAGCCTTTAATTTCTGCAAAACAATGATTGTTAAGTAATCATGTACATCTTTCTCCGATGAAATTTTATGCATAAAAATGGTTTTCACGTTGATAAGGGCTAACTTTTCTGGTAGGGTTGATGCATTCGTATTTCAAAAAGCATTTGAACATTTTCATAAGGTGTATTTTATGAAAAATTCATGGGCAGCTTCTTGAATTCGTTAGTCATGATACGATCACTAAAGTGCCTTAATTATTTGGTTGAAGTAATCGAAGAGATTCTCAATAAAATAACGCAGTATAACGTAGCAAGAATTCCGATAATACTGCATTTTTACCCAAGAATCAAGATTTTACGCGTGAATTCTCAACGAGCAGTGTTCGTCATCGTCGTTTTCACTGTAGCAAAAATATGCGCATGCATAATTTAGGCTGTTTCGTTTCAAGGCTGGCTGATGGTCGGATGTATGATATATCATTTTAGTATTCAAGCATTTAGCGTGATTCGCTCGATCCGTCATAAAATATTCAGCATTTCTTGATGACGATTTCATAGCGCAGACGATACCGCTGAGCCAGGGGCCTTTCTCGCAAAATGACAGGAAGTATCAAGACAATGCAAAGAGCATCAATCATTTACTGTACTGTATGTGGATGCTTGAGTAGTCAAATTTCAAACTCCGGCGGTTTGCTGTACATTTTTGACAATATTCAAGCGGGCCCATCGAGAAAAGCTCCCTTTTGGAAAATTTTTCCGTACTAAAATACTGCAAACGTTGAGACGTACATTATCACTAATTTCTCATTACCCACTCGTACAAATTTTGAATTAAAATTTAGTCATCATTTCCATGATCTCGTCAAATCATGGAGTGAAAAAAATGAAGTTTCACCTAATTTCCTCAAATGAATATCTGCCACCTCTGCTATAGGACTTCTTTCGGAGTGATGCTTCTCGCATTTTTCTGGAACGATTCATGAAGCTATCTTCTAGGATGAAGCTATTCACCCTTTATTCTTTTCACAGTCGGAGATAGACTTTCAATGGAATGCAGGAAACACAAAGACTGAACAGCTGCCTTGGAAAACAAGGCACAATATTGTAACTGAATTTACGCCCGAGACTTCTTGATCTATAAAAAGATCTTATCAAATTACCCAACTTTCGAAAAAGCACGAGCCAGTTTACCATCTGTTCCAGCACCGTAACTTTATCTTGTTTGCACTTTTTAAAATCGTTTTGATGTCGATTTATTAGATTTTTTCATTTTAGGCAGCAGCACGTTTATCATGCAGGCTTTTCTGCTGGACCTGACTTACATCAATGATAAATATATTTCGCAAATATCACCCTGCTGTGCATTCTAAGTTGTTAGTTCTCGAATGCAATTTTTGTAATTATATTTAGAACAAATCATTCCTTGCAGCATGCGCGTCGCATCTTTGCTTCTGACTCTTTCACTGAAATTCCCCTTTTGCGTGTTGAAGAGATCGATCATGGATGAAGTCCAACTAACCTGACTCAGGCGACTATCGTCACGTCCTGTGGGATTGAAAAGTCGGTGAGCTGTGCACATTGGGTGGCATATGGCGACCCATCGCTCGACGGTGAATGCAGTGATAATTAAAATCGATGCGTATGTGCAAGCTTCAGCCGCCATGCCACGTACTCGGCAAAAAGTGTCGCCGAATATGTACGGATAGGTGAACCAGCTGCGTACGATGTCGTCGGGGGTGCCGAGAACCAGCAACATGATATCACTCACCGCCAGACTGAACAAGTAATAGTTGGTCGCCGTTTGCATGTACCTGGAATAAATGGAGTGATTTCACTCGGAATTCCAAGGTAATCGATCACGTGGGGAGATCCGATTGCACCCATCCGTATATCGACTTCATTCAAAGTTTAGAACATGAAACCCTCAACTACGTATTTTGTGGATTTCATGCCACGCATCGGGATTTCTGTCTGTGAATTACGCGAAGATATGAATTCAAATTTAGAATCCAGCATTACCTAACCTTATTTCTGGAGTTTTATTTTATTTTCCCCCAAGTGTTACATCTGGTTTTTGGTCGAGAATTGATCATTTTCATTGAGCTCATTGATGGACGCATTCTAATCGGTCTGAAAAACTTGAAACTTGCTTTTTGATAAGAAAAATGAATTCTGAGGTTCGTAGAAACTTTGCTAAATTAAGAATACAATACATTTCAGCCGCAAATCGCATGAATTAAACTGGTAATTCAGGTAGACCATCATTCGAATTGAATGAAAATTATTTGGTTTATGAATTATTGCTGTATGGCTGTATATAAGTTTTTGAAATTTATTCTACACATTGTAAAGTTAGGCTCACAAGTCATTTCGGTTTTGTGTGTCTTGTTCTGTAATGAATGGTTATTCGCGTAAATAATTTATAATTTCCTGACCAGTCAATTTTGCGTGTCCAGGTTCGAATGGAGAGAAGAAAGCATGCAGTCGGAGGTGCACAAAATTACTGTGAAGCAGTAAGTCTTACCTGCACGTTCTACATGTTTATTTCATTTTGCAGTTCTAAATAGGCCTAATTGATACCAAATATTCAGAATACCGTTTATGCTCCAGTAAACGCCGGGTCTCACAGGGGTATAAGTCCTCTAATAGTGGCCGGGTCAAAGAAGGGGGAGGGGGTTTGAAAAAATTCCTAGAATTTTTTTCATTTTGATCCTAATAATATTTTTCACAATCTAGTCTTAAACACTCAAAAATTAAACCCTGTTTCCTTTAATCCGTCAGCCCTTTTTATGCATTCCTGTCTCCTTTCCACAAATCAGTGGGAAATCATAGTTTTTCTTACTTTCCCCTTATTTTCTCCACATTTTTCTTTTCATATTGTCCACAGTTGGAAATAATCGCCAGTCTCTAAAAGAAGCCTGTCTTTATTAGAGGCCGGGGGAAACATTTAAAATGGTAAAAAAAACGCCGGGGCCTTTATTGGAGCATATACGGGTAACTGAAAAAATAAACTCAGAGACGGGGAATGTACCAGATCTGCCAACCATGTTAAAATTCAAAATTTTTTCAGCGTTGTCGGAAGATTTTTCTGACGAGAACGTTAACGAAACTGAGCCATCTCTTTTGTTTAACCCGCCCTTTTGCTTAATTGCTTCCAAAATTTGGGCGCAAACTTAGAACCAACTAACCTATTTCTGGCGATAACGAGACATGTGCAGAAATTTCCAAGCAGTCCGGTCGCAAAGATGAGCGAGTACACAGTCGTCAGGAGAATGCTGATCCCGAAGGGGATATCCGGTTCACCCCAAGTGTCCTGAATGAGGCTTGCGAAATGCTGCACGACGGCCGAATAATTCTCCATCCCATCCAGACACGAACAATTTGTGCAGATAATCCTCGACACAGTCTCGGGACAAAAATCCCAGGCCGACTCGTTCGCACTCGCATTCCATAACTCCCACGAACCCATGACGAGGAACCCTCCTGATGCTAGATTATCCGAAGTCAGTGCTCAAATCGTTGCCCCCGGGTGGCCAAACTTCGTAATCTGAGTAAAACCTGAAAAAAAACAATGATCCGGAAATTTGCAGAATATTGGAACGCTTGCCACCCTAAAACGTGGAGAGTGGTACAGTACTTTTGTTCATCTCGCGCAGGGATCTAAATTTGGTAATCGATTTACTCAGGGTTAACTTAATACTCGTTATGCTACTTATGCAGCTCGTAATACCAACTCAATAAATGCCACTCCAAATGGCCTAATTCGAGATTCTCGCGGAAGGGATTAATTAAATCTTCCCCCAAATCAAATTTCACATCAAATCAAGCTGAAGTGGGGATCATTCCTAGAAAAAATCTACATTAATTTTGATTCACTTAGCGTTTCCTGGCGCATTACTTTCTCAACGCGAAGAAGTAGAAAACTCCGTTTCCGAGGAATATCCCGACAGCTGGCAGATGGACCACAGATCCAGAAAACCACGCTTCCCGAGATTCTTCGCTCTATAGCTTCCCTCATTTAATCAGTCTAACTCATCGTTATGAACCTTTTCCTGCAAAAATAAGATAAGTCGTCTTTCTTAATCACTGCGGCAACGCGTTGCTGTCTGTCCCGGTGACGAGAGATATTGACGCGCATATTTCAGGCTAGAAAGGTTCACTGCCCGAAGAAAATAATGGGATCACTTCCGTTAATTTCACGCTACCTGAAGGATGACCTCAATCTTATTTGGCTCAAGTGTGTTTCCCAGAAAATTTGCCGACTGCTCGTGACGGAAATAAAGAGCCCCGGTTTGACTATTATTTCACCAACGACATGAGATTTCGACGTGTCACGAAGTGTCGACGGTCGTGACTCTATCAGCTTGGGAGATGGGCTCAATTTTCCTGTCCATCAACCGGAAATTCAAGGAAGTAAAGAGCTTTGAAAACGTGCCTCACGCGAAACTTTCCAAGTTCAGCATCCACAAGAGAACAAAGGAAAGAGTTTACAGTGCGTCCAACATCTACGTGAATAAATCGATATCTTCCATTCGCGTGATTTCCAGTGTCAGACATCCGAAAGCACGAAATGGTTCCGAGTTCTCAATATAATACTGTACAGTACTCGCTCGTTTCTGTGGCTCAGAAACCCTATCATTATCCAAGGCAAGAAGACAATAATGGAGGGCAGAAGTTCTCCATCTGTGTGCATCAAGTTCATAGGGCTCCAGAAAGAAATATAAAGTTGGATCGAGCTAAAGATAAACAAGAGTCTGCAAATAATTGCCCAGAACACCTGCTTCCATCATTCAAGGCGCGTAATCTAATGATATAAACCTAATAATGATTTTGGAGCCAAAAATGTTTGACTTCCCAGGCCTACAAGGAGAATTGTATTCCAGCAGGGATCCCGGCAAACAAATCTATCTAAAAAAAAGGCTCCTCGCGTAAAAAATTTTGAGGTCAACGAAAATGAACCCGGAAAGCACATTCAAAATAATGTTCCGCAATGTCTTATGTGACGGAATTATGTAAACGTTCTCGCAACTTTTCTGTCATCTTCCGGAAAGACGACAAGAATTTGATTATTTTCTGCCGTTGCATCTGCTTCTGCTTGTGTAGAGCAATGTCTATTTGCTGATCTTCGCAATAAAGGAACAGACAGAGATGCTATTCTACGAGGGTATAAACTGACCGACACAGGAAGTCTTCTACGATAATGTGTTCCCAAGGCGGGGAAGAATCGAGAGCAATACTGCGTCGGGCGGCGACAATCGAAGTTCATCTTTCGAGACACTCGATACTGTTCGTCAACAAAAAGGAAGAAAACGATGAAAAAATACGACAAATATAAGGAAAGAAAATTGCAAGAAGTAAAAGGCGAACGCAGTAATCCTAGTGAATTGCCTCGAAAATGTTCTCATTTTGTTCACTTTATCTCTCTTGCTTGCTTTTTCCGCAAAATCTGCTTTCGGGTGGAGTGAGACTCGTTTTCAGAGATTAAAAAAAAAAAACCCCTTGTGCCTGGGATTCGGGAATAAGGTCTTAGTCCTCTTGCTGTTTATTACATTACATACATATACACAAGTACATATGCTTTTGGCTTGCAGTGATACTGGGATATCCATGTTCTTGATCAGACCACAGACATAACCTGATCAGACTTCAAAGATAATTTCCTTGACGCCGCGAAGAGATACACGTCTAATACAAGCATCGATTCCTGGGTTACGACCAGCGAATTCACTATTAACGGATCTGAAAAAAAATTACAGCACTCAGAAATCTCGGAAAAAATCTTTTCCTCAAGTTTGGTTTTAGGGTTACTACACCAGTTTTTTTGGGGGGGGGGGGGGGCCGAAAATATGGTACTCGTCCTCGAACTGCGGAGGAAAACATGTTTTAAATTAAAAGCTCTCAAGAGCTCCTAATTTCCTTCTTCATTGTCAGCACAAGTCACGCGTTTTCAATTCCGAAAAAGAGAGAAAATGTGGAAGTAATGAATGTGAATGCACGAACGCGGTTCGCCGCGTTTTCCAATTAACATGACGCGGGTTTTCGAGAAAACGAATTAACGTTGACGGCATCTTTACGTTCCCGCTCAATGAGGCGAGATGTGTACGAACCTTTGACCTATTCCTTATTCAAGAGAACCGTGCAAAAGAACCGAGCAAAGGGCTTGGGACTGTTGTCACACAGTGTATCGATTATTGCTTTGGCGGGCAGTTTAGATCTCGTCCAGCAGCATTTGGGATTTCCGCCAAATGAGGTGCGACGCTAATTGCTTTCAGAGACAGCATGGACTTCAAGTCATGGAAATTACTGGCTTATATTCTTGATCACGCAGGTGATGGTCAACGATTGATCATCAATGAAAATCAACGAAGCCAAAAATATTTCTCGAGATGAGATCGTACTTTTCTTTCAGTTCGCACTTTCACTGAATGCTGAAGGATGCGTCATATTTTCAAATTTTCGTATTTGTCAACCGATAATTCTTCGTGTGTCATAATTTGACGCAGTTTTAGAGCGTGTAAAGTATTTTTAAATCCAACAATCACACAAACAGATTTCCCCCCAGAAATTGATCGACTTCGTTCACTATAAAGCAGCTTGAAATAAAACAAGATTCTTTGTTAATTTGATCAAACTTTTTAAATTGTTCAAGCTTTCAAAAATCGTGATTCGTCAAAGTTCTTCATGAAGAATAAAGCTTCTATACTTGTATCAAAGCTTACGTTTCGAAATAATTTCCCCCGGAAAATCCCAGTGAAATGGTTTTCAATATGCTTCAGCGTCAGCAGCTGAATAGAGCTGTTGCTTATTCCAGGAAAGCGGCAATGATGAATGCAAAGAAGGATATTGCGAAAGGAACTTCAGGTTTTGAGTCATATGAACGCGTTCGTCCATCAAAAGATTCCGAGCTCAGAGAATTGGTCAGCGTTTCAGCAAAACCACGATTCGTAATCCCCTGGCAGACATACAATTATTATGCTCTGCGGGTGCAGCACAGGGTGGATTTTATGTATCAATCCGATACCAGTACCCGACATGAGAGGTGGTGCATTCATGAAAAAATGGATACGAAGTTGTGCGGTACGATGATGAAGTTTCCGCTTTTCCTGATTCGGTTATAAAGCACTTCATTGATCGGGGAAACATCATTCGTGCGACTCTCCGACGAAAGGTTGGAAATAAACTTCAGGGTTCTAAGAACTGTCAGATGCGCAAATACGTCGAGGGGAAACCATAAATAAAAAAGCATCTCACAAAGAAGCAGCAAGATGGGTCATCCTTCAAATCAAGAATTTTTCTGTAGAAATTCTCTCGCATCAGAGAAATACATTAGAAGAAACCACAGCAGGGCTCTAACCTATGTATTCTAGCCAATACAGTACATTCCGGATTTCAAATACACCAGGTAACTTATATTGTAACTTATTTTGATGTAAATTTAAGCTATCAAATACCTTCAACCAAATCCAACCACTCATTTTCCTTTGAAATTTTCTTGTTTCAGTTCATTATAGCATAAAGACACAAGTTTAAGATCATCTTACTGCTGTGACCTTATCACAGCCGAATGACTTGGCATTTCTCGGTTTCACCGATGCTACCAGCAGAATTAATTCAGTTCAAAGGTAAAGGCAAATTCAAACACAAACACGATTGCAAATGTATACGATGAGACCATTTTTGCAACAACAAAAAATGTAAGCCTGGCTCTTTCATCCTCAAATGATTTTTCAAAGCTGCAGTAGCATGTCTGCGTTGCACAATTTATTTTATTTTATTTTATTTTTTTAATTTTAACCCGCGGGTACTATATGAAAACTTTCCCCAGGCCTGTAGAAAATATCCACAGTTAGATCCGACAATGAAGACTTTCCGAAAATTTATAAAGCTTTTAAAATGACTGAATAGACAGTAATAAAAAGGGAATGAAAAATGCTATATCAAATAATCCCGGAGGAGTGCGCAATTTAATTTTTTTCCAGCCTGTTATCTTGAGATTAATCCGCTTCCCTCGTCGAAGAAAAGGATTTTACTTCAGGTTCGTCGGCGATCAAATCGCTGATAAAATCAACATCATAAACAATGATTCGAAACTTGCCAAATTATGTGTTGGAATTAATGCTCATCTACGCGGATCAGTGCTGGCTCTCATTATAGGTGATTCGTGGAGCCGTATACTGTATGAGCTCCAATCAGGGTCCCCATTCAGCAGGAGCTTGTCTACTGCAGTAATTCAATGAATTTACAAATTGGTAGAAAAATTGAAACAATACGATGGAAAAATTACGATCAATTACCAGTTACGTTTAAGAAAAGTACAGTAATAAAAAAAGAATTCTACGTCGACAAGGACTCCTTGGATCTTAATTAAAACTGTAAAACCTCTACAGAAGTGTCTAAGAGGCCTGTCATGAAACATGGCTTCGCAAATTTACAGGGTTCAGAACCTCTGTTCCATTAGATGTAATCTGCATAAGAGATGATATCAACACAAGAAGTGGGGATCTCATTAGACAATGACTTCGATGTTCTCTATTCAAGTCACAGAAACCTCTAAAAAGAAAAAAAAATCGAAGAAGCTCTGTATATTGCTGAAAAATATTTTAAAAATGGCCCAACGAGCTGACAGGGTCGAGAACCTCCGCTCTGTTAAATGGAATCTACGTAAGAGAAGCTATCAGGACCAGGAGTGGAGATCCAATTAAACAAGGATTTTTGTGTTCTTAATCCAAGTCGTACCAGCAATCAAAGAGGCTTTGTCTAGCGCGGAAAAATATTTAAAATATTCCTCCGCGAATTAATAGGGCCGAGAAAAATCTGCCCTATATTAGATGGAATTTGGAATGCATGCACAATTGAACAATCAATAGCCAGGCTCACCAGCAGGGAGACGATGAAGAAAGGACTTGCAGGTTGAAAAAAAAAAAACCAGAAATGCGCCCTTTTTCGCAGTAGTTGGGAGAAAGCCTTTCACTAGCAGGGTGGAGACACTCCTTCGAAAGCCCTTCGCAACTGCAGGCAGTCCAACCTCCGCGTTTGGGTACCACCAACGCGGAAAAGGACCATTGCCGTTGCAGCGGCTAGCCTTTGATGTCGGGACTTGCTGCTTCCCGCCGTCGAAAAAGTCGCGAGCGACCTAATGTACAAATCACTCACCGACGGAAATCAGCGGAACAGTGGAACGGGCGTGATGAAAATTTCCGTTGTATTCTTTTGAATTCTTTGTTCATTGACATCTGAAATGTAGAGTATAAAGAAGAAGTACAATAGCAGAAGCCATATACAGTACCAGTATTCTATTTTATGAAGTTATGTCCGTAGAACTTCTTTACAACATTCTCTCATCTGCGCAGGAATATTTTTCTTGCCCCAAGCCCTTTTTATTCTTCGAAAGCCTGTTTCCAGGTAATAATTTCCTTGTGTAAGATACAAAATGTCTGCCTTTGTCAGCGTAAAGTATAACTTATTGGTCTAGTACAGCAATAGCACTACTGTATTTTTGTATGTAATTCATAAACGCATATTTTAATGAGTTCCCATGTTCCACGTTATGCTGGCAAGTGGTAAAAGCTCTTGACTCTTTTCTTCATGATGTTCTGTCATGAATGAAGTAGCCTGATTCATAGGATCGAAGAAGAGCATGGTACATCTTGAAGGTATCTCGATTCATGCTGAAATATTTTTTTCAATGCTTGATAAGTTTTCTTTCAAGCTTTTTGAAAAAAGCGTTGCGCAAGTAGCACATGCAGCTGTCACAATAATCAAGAAACAGAAAGACAGAGAGAGATGAATGAATGAAGGGAAAGGCATGGAACTTCGCAAATGTTTTTTCTTCATTTCAGAGGAGTTTAACTGGCATGCGCTAACAATAAAAATTCAGAAAACTTTGACCGAAAGTTATGGAAAGCTTGCACGTGTTCCACAGTTTATTATTTCACAAGTAACTGCTGTGACTCGCTCCTTTCCTCTCCAGATAACCTTGAACAAACTTGTTATTTGCCGAGCAAAAAAAAAAAACCATCACCTTGCAAATGGCCCTACTTCCTGATTTACTCGAAACTCTCGTGAAAGAAATGTCTGATCAAAAACATATTCAGCTCTCTTTGATGCGAAACTCAACAAAATGTGTTGTTATTTCACTGAATGTTGCATTCAGGCGTGGTTTTATTTTTTCTCTTAATGTAATTGAAGTTTTGAGGCTGCGGCTAGTTCCCCGAGATCAAAAGGATCAATTTAATTATTTTTTTCTGTTCCAAAGCTTAAAAAATCGCAGACATTACACTCGAGAGACAAGGAAAACATATACTGCAGACCTTCTAAAAAGCAGCGTTACAGGTCCAAAATTTGATAATCGACTTTTTTGCCTAAGATGCTTGTGAAATCCTGAATAACGAGATTCAGAATTCTATTACAGTACTACAGTATTTACTATACTAATTCCGCCATAATTTCTTGTTACCGATAAGCAATGTCGGTCCAATGATATTCTTGGAATATCAATGGACAGGAACATTAAAATATGAGATACTGCATGTACTGTATATCCGTAATACACTATCAAACTCGACCTTATTCACGGGCACGGTTTCCTTGGAGACTACTGCTTTTAACCGAGGTTGAAGCTTTTCTGAAGTTGGGATCTCTTATAGAGTTCATCTTCCATGTCACGCGATGATGCGACTATTTTATCCTCGCCAAGACCTTTTCATTCTTTCTTCATTCCGGCAAACGTAAGGTGACTGGCCCAATTATAGATTTCAGTGAATCCTACCTGTAGTTTCGAGTGCTGGTGATGCTGATACGAAAGTAATGATCCAAAATTTTCCCATGCGAGTTTCATTGGACGGAAGAGAATGCATGATTTCCACATCTGAATAAAGGGCGGGACTCATGTGCAACATAACTTCTGATTGCGACTTTTTTCACTGAATCGTTTGATGTTCGTGCATTGGGTGATGAGTACAGTGTACACAAAGCCGAGACGAGTTCATTACTCAGTTGCAAGACACATGGAGAATTCCAAGCGCCTTCGCGTGTGTCACGAACAGAAGGTGAACAAAAATCAAACGAGCTTTATTCAAAGGAACCGACGACGATGTTTGCGTGCTGATGCTTTTTCCTGTATATCACGCATTGGCCCTCTCAATCGAGAGGATCTTGATTTTTTTTCCTGTCTCCTGATTTCAATTTAATGTGGAATGCCTGAGTGGGTTTCAGCGGAGCATACGCAAATTTCATGCCGAATTGCTAGTGCATATAAGCCAACGGAGTCGTGCGATACGGTTCCAGATATAGTTAGAAGCCTCCCGAAAAATTTTTTTTGGGAGAGTCCCACTTTTCTAGAGGGGCTTCTAAATTGAAAATGAAGCGAAACTTTCTGAGTCTCGAAGAAAGCAAGATCAGAAGGCGGTATTTTCTGGGAAATGCACTGATTAATATTCAAGGTCTACAAAATTAAAACAAGCCACTGTGCTCGTACATACAGCAACTGGGAGAAAGACAAAAGGCACGAAAAATGGTCGGGGTTGTATATTGGAGCATCTATCCAAAAATGCTTGCATCTAATCATATGATTATCAAAATTAAAATACGGTATATGCTGAAATTTCCTCATCACCACACTATTTTTGTAAAGCAAGAATCATACCTTAAATCGCATCATCACACCCAAATACTTTCACGCTGACATACAATATTCACAGGGTTAACTTCCTTCTTAAATTTCCGCAATCTAGGGAAAGATAAACAATGATTTTGTCAAGCATTGCTGAACTTTTATAAGACTCATTATTCTTAAAATACAGTTAAGTATTCAGGAAAAATTCCTTCGAAAACAAAGTGGAAGGCAAGATCAAGTTTCCAGTTCACCTGCATTTTTATGCTTGGTCATCTCCTTTGTGTGGCATTTTCTGACAAACATCTGCATGGCATTCTCTGACAGCACTGGATGGTCAACTTTCTGACTCCATTCAATTTAAATAATTGAAAAAAGAGTGCAGCTGTTCATTTTCTACTGAAGATCTCAACGAAAATGTCACAACATATGCGAAACTGTATTCTCTTTCCCCCTACATTTTTTGCATGAATAATCGTTTTTCAGGAAAATCACTAGTCTTTCAGATTTTTTCATACATTCGCACATTATACAGGTCTTTCTCCCCTTGATCAGAAAGACGATGTCTTCCGAGAGCTGGGAAATTGACGTGTTGCACGTTGCCAACGCCAGAACACCTTGAAAAAAAAAAAGTGTCGGACGCATATGATGAAAGAAACCTTTACACACGTTGCTGTAAATATTTTCAAGGAAACGTCCCTGTGAACAGACATAATATACTGTATTAATAATAACATTTTTCTCCTCAGCCGCAACATCAGCCAGAAAAGCCAATACTGTCAGTGTACTGTACTATACGACTTTTCTCGAAGAAGGAATACACGTTTTGGCTACCGTTTCACTCGCCCTCCCGCCTTTTTAATTTAAAATTTTACTGAGCATTAAAATAGTTACATACCTGCAAAAAATCAAAATGGGGAAATTCGAGAAAATTTCGAGTTCGGCTATATCCGCTGTACAGTACTAGAACGTTCGACGATTGAGTTCAGTAGATCCAGTTCTAATCTGGAACTAATATTATGCCTGAAATCTTCTGCTGCTGCCTAGACAGAGGGCTAGAAACCGACTGTAATTTGGAAGCAATATCCTTCCCGGAGCATGCAATTCGGTATACCGCGATGGATCAAAGCATTTGGTTTATGCTGTGACTTTTTTTTTTTTTTTTTTTTTTTTTTTTTTTTTTATTTTTGTTTTTTTTTTTTTTTTTTTTTTTTTTTTTTTTTTTTTTTTTTTTTTTTAAATGATTTGCTGTCCGACGTGACTTGTAGTGTATTTCGAAGCATTGTAGAACATTCGGTGAGTACATGCTGGTCGCGGGTAGCCCGGGTGGAAGGGGCGAGTTCAACTGCTTCGATAACCTCACTTCAAATTGCACCCTGGCCACGAGGTCAAAATGTTCGCTCCACGCGAAAAAACACGGAAGCGGGAGAAAATTTTCGCTTTGTTTCTTTTTATTGCCTTTTCTCGTGCTTCTGGCGAATATCGTACGGAGAAAATCCCATCTCAGCGTTCGCGAACTTCCCGCTTTTCGTGTCATACATAACACGCTTCTCGGCGAAGACTCAACTTAGAATGTTCCTTGCTGAGGGTCAAAATTTTGTCCAATTTGAGGAGATCAGCGAAAAGCATCGACGTACTTCGTCACTGTCGGAGCTGCACTGCTTTCGTCTCGTCGTAATGCTTTAATATTTTGAAGCGTAAAATACCAAGGTCTGGATGAAGCTCGACGCTAGGGCCTTGAAGGAAGGTTTTTTAAATATTTGCTGCAAAATATTTCAGATACACGCGCTGTTGATCATTTTGGTTGAAACTGAGTAGCAATGCTGGCGGAGGTGTCATTTTCACGGATATTAACACTTCATGAGCCCTTTCTGAACGAGAAAAAAATTATCCATGTTACGCTTGTGTTTCGACTTTACTGTGGCGCATTCAAAACCGCGATTAACAAATACAGTATGTCTAAAGAAGAACACGTACGCAGAAAACATGACATCTTCAAGAAAAAATGCTCGGAAGATGCCCCCCCCCCCCCAAGTTGTATTTCAATGTCATGAAGTTTTCATCATTGTCAAAGTTCTTCAGGCTCGTCAAAATAAAAAAGGAGAGCAATGTATGCCAGATTGGGTCTTCTAATTCGAATCTGATTTAATGGTCAGATACAGAGAGAAACTTTCTTCAGAGACTTTTTTGCCATCTGGACACAGACGTACTGATGCACAAGATTTAAATAATACTGGATTTACGACAAACAAGATGCCTGAAAATCTCCAACAACTGTTATTCTTACGTACACAATACGGCTCCTTGAATATATTGAAAGTAATGATAATAATGCTCTCCTTAAATAAATCATGTCCACCGAAGAGGGGGGTGGTATCTCGCAATTTGACGGTCGAATTTGCAGGGAGGTCGACTCTCAATTAGACCTCTTCCGCGTAATTCGACCTGCGGAGCAACCTGAATCGTCAAATGCCATGTAAAAAAACATGACATTTGAAGTTGTCTCGCAATTAGATTAGACCCTAGTCCAGCAACGGATTAGGGTCGAATTGCGAGGTACCACCTGTATCGTCCTCGCAAAACCAATCCCACTTTATTTCATGTCTGTGTTTGGATAAACGCATAAACTGAACGCGTATAACTCACTGATGGGAATTCATCCCATCCAAGCAGGACGACATTCACACAGTCGTCGTTCAAAAAATCGAAACTCAAACGATAATTTTCATAAGATATGAGACGCACTCGTAGTTTGAGGCCGAAGTATCGAAAGGAAATTATGTGTGCCAGCAACTTGATCGTTTAGTTTTCTTTCACCGCGAAACTCACATAAGCCCGCAAATAGCATCACGCAGGTCACCAGAACCGAATTCCCGGAATAATACAAATTTCTTCCAGGAATAATACAATTTTCTGATGTGAACAGCAAATTAGGCATCAGTAATCGACCACGAAACGAACTTCCGTTGCAGGTCTTTAATAGAAAATCCTTTTCGGAGAAAAAATTAATCGATCTCGACAGTTTTACTTTCCCTCAGGTTATGCTGTAGTCATCAAAATCACTAGCCCGCACGAATATTATATCTGCGAATTATTTTTTATTCATTACTGAACAACGCTTGACTCTGAAATGCAACGCTTTTTTCTAAACTCTGAAGCGATACTTTTGTGGCCCCTCTTAGATTTCCCTTACGATATTCTCTGTAAAAAGAAAAAAAAATTGTTCCAGAGAACTTCGTTCAAGAAACCTGTATATCTTTTTAGCTCATCAGTCTCATGAGCGTTATTTCTCATTTTCTCCGGATGCACGAATAGCTTCCACCTCATCTTCAGAAATGAATTCCGCCTATGGGTTTTCTGCAAAAAAGAAAAAAACGAAGCTTTTCACCTTGAAAGCTTGCCATATGAAGTACAGCGTGAATGAAATTAAGCCGCGTGAATCCAACGAGTTGCGTATTCATTTGATTTATAAATTTTAGACTCTGTATTGAAGCACCCACATTGTTGGTTGTCACGGGTGAGAGCATAAATGAATTCGAGGTGACCTCAATCTGATACGGTTTTTTAATGGCTTTATGAAGCAGCCGATACTGACGCTTGAATTCGATTTGATCGCAGCATGCTTCGCTGGAATTTCATGCAGAAAAAAGTCTACATTTTAGGTCGGCTTGGATTATCCGCCTACCATGTGAAGGAACGCCTTGCGGCTTCAGTGGAAGGGATTGATTTCGTCTCCGGGCTGACTGACGACCTCCAAGACGCGATTACGCCTGACGCTTATGGCCTTAGTAGTAGTCAGCGAGGCCTGGACCCGCGACACGAAACTGCCCGACAAAGGCTCGTTGTGATGGATGACGATCCACGGGTCTCCAAGAGTGACCTGGTCTCCGACGACTTTCAGCAGCTCGAACCCAACCGCGTGGTCAATTTTGTCGGTCTTCTTTAACCTCCCCCCACCCAATTCCAGCACTAGATGTCCAATCACGGCTGCGTCAATGCGGGCAACGTAACCTTCGAGCAAAGAAAAACAAAACTCTTTGTCGCTGTACTGAATGCAAAAGAAAAAAGAAACTTCGTTGACGAATCTTTCTGATGGTACTGGAGAAAATCCCGCCGAAATCCTGCGGGATAAGAAAACCCTACGTTGAAAAAAAAAAGTTTACTGCACGAAGTCTGAGAATGTATAAAGTAAAAAGTATAATACTGTATAATCGAAATAAGTGCTCATATTTAAGCCAGATTGAATCCTAATCATAGCGCGTACAGCCCTCGTGATGGAAACTCCTATGGTTGTCAAAAAGAAACAAAATTCTGTTGAATAAACCTTTCTAAAATGGATCATAATGAATCCACTGAAGGCAAGTATCTACATGAAATAGAGTAATTGCTTCAGCCATTAATGCATTTATGCATCAATTATTTTTTTCAACGTCGAAATGAAAGCCGGGCGAACCCCTTTCCCCAAAATTATAAAATCAGTCTCTCAAAATTTGTTTTTGGTACATTTTTCTCTCGTGGAATATTTTTTCCGCGAAAGTTTCCTGAGGAGGATCGGAATTTTTTCAAATAAAAAAATACATGCCAATTTATTGAAAACGCTGAAAAAATGGCAATGAACATCGAAGCTCCGCATCTTTGTAACCCCGCGTTTGATTGATTGCCATTGCACTAAGTTCATTAGTTCAAGAGGGCATGTTTGGGGAGCGTCATTATAATGGTCTAATAGGACCTCACCATGATCGCCATTGTGGTGCACTACAGTCGTCGTGGCCTTTGGCAAAACCGCGTCGTATTTCCCCTCGCACAAGTCAGCAGCAACTTCAGCAGGGACACCCTGGAAAGCCAGCATGTTTTCAAAGGCTTTCAGAGCCTTCTTCGAGGCCAGGCTCTGTCTGATGATTTGTTCGCCCTCTGAGAAGCTGGACACTTGATTAGTCATTTGCAGCATGTGGCTTCCTACAATGACGAGAAACACGAGGGTCGCTTCGACTCGTTTCTAGGCCGTCGTCAAGGCTGAAGCTTATACGGAGTTCATTTTCTCCCCGTTTGAAGTCTGGTGGAGATGCACTTAGGGGAAGGGGCTGCTATGGAGACGAATCTAACGACGATAAATGCTTATCCGCGTCCTGTTCCAAACAAAAAACCCCCGAAGAGGAGTTTTTGGGATGGGAGCAAACAGCGAGACCCGAAACTAAACGATCTGTCGAATCCAATCACCTCAGGAAAAAAAAAAGTCTATCGTACAGTCTTGAACAGTTTGAAGATCGCACACGTGAATGGGATTAGAAACTTCATTTCCTTGCTGAATCGCATTGCATTCAAAAGAAATTGACGTTAAAGCTTTACTCGATCACTCACATTCTCAGAATTTAGATGCTCGTCCAGAAATGTATTCAATGCGCGTTCCAAACTTTTGATCAGTACAGTATTCAACCCAGTTTTTTTTTATAAAATGAAATCCTCAAAAATTAATTTTCATAAAATTCTCAAAAGTTTACAGAAATGTTGTCGAGAGCACTGATGTGTCCCTGCTTGAGGACATACTGCGATTGACAAATTTTTCGATTGCCTCGGATGTTTTTGAGTGAATCGTAAAAAACAAAGTACCGTTGACATGTTTGTTCAGCGAGTAAAAACTTCTACAATGGAGTGGATTTTTTTTCTCAACAGTCCAAAGATCGGAAAACAGCGAATCGATTATAAATATGTGTATACTTTCTCACACTGAATATTTGTCTAAAAACATCCATCGCAGTTTAAAATTTAGATGAATTGCTCACCGAGCGTTAGAACAAGCTCAAGCAAATCCGGAGTTCGTTCGCCAGCATCTTCCCATCGCAGAAATTCAACGGTTTCCCGAATTTCTAACCCATTTCCGACCATGCGCCCGATTGGGTCGTTCATTTCGGTTAGGAAAGCCCTGGCTTTAATACCGACGTTGTGAGCAGCGCGAACCTGAAACGAGAAAAACGAGAGAAAAACACGCACGTTAAAAATATTTCTGGTTTCGCGCCCAGAGAAAATTGGATTCATGTTTTCCGGACCATGTCCTCAGCCGCAACCCTGGCCTCCAGCACGTCTCCTAGCGTGCTGGCAGCGCCGAACTTGACGTCCAAAACGAGCGCATTGAGCCCCTCGGCTGCCTTCTTCGAGATGATGGAAGCTGAAAAATTAGGGACCGTCATTTAGGACCGTTGCTAAGTGCTGTCGACTCGACGCCTCACCATTGATTAAGTTCCGGTTGGTGACAGTCTCGGTCTCGTCGCGGCAAGCGTACATCAAGCGGTCCGCAGGCACGATGTCATCAGTTTGCCCGCACAGCACGCAACCGTTTTTCCGTAAACCTTCCAGAATTTCTGACGGCGTCAGTCCAACCTTAAATCCTATCGAAAAAGCTTTTAAAAGATACTATACTACTGGGAAACAAAATAAATTTGTCACATCCCGGAGGTGAAATTTAAGAGATAGAGTGAGCACTCCATGCTTGAAACCATAGCGTCAAATCGAGCACGTCCAAATATTGTCCGCGCCCAAGACACACGCAACATTTTCAGTTTTCAAGCAGGGACTCACTTTGGATGGGATGGGTTTGTCCAATAGAAAGGTTTTGTCTTTCTAATGGAATAATTTATTCCTCGTGAATAAAACGCATTTGGATTTTAGCTCCTTCAATCACAGATGGTATCTCTTTAGCCTTTGAATTTCCATGCTCCCCATTTCCACTATTTCTTTTTCTACTTCGCAGACACGTACTGTGTGTCGGAAGAGCTGACTACTCTCCCACGGCTTATAGAAAGCTCAATTTCATTTCAGTGCAATCTGATTGTTGTGGATAATGTAGCCGTAGCGTTGAAGAGATTAAAAAGAATTCAAAATAAATAAACCAGTCTTAAGGGCAACGGATAAATCAACTGCATGGTGGCAGAAAAGTTCCATTCTGCCAAGTCGCTCCATCCAGATTCAAAAGAACTTTTATGAATAAAATTCCTTTTTTTCGTGATTTCGAACAAGTTTTTCTCGAAAAGTATTCTTCGTCCTATGCTGCTTCGATGTCTGGAGCCGAAGGCCACATATGGCGAGCTCAGATAAGCTGCTTTATGAAACTGCCATGATCTTTAAAGAGAGAATTAATAGGGCTCATCGATCTTCGATAAATCAAATAGTCATCGAAAAAGTAAAGGCAATCGTTCTGAGGAATTGCGGACCACGTTCACTCAGGAATTGATCCGTTATTCATTTTTTTTCCTTCTTCTGAAGTTTGCAGTCAAAGGAAGTTTTCAAGACACATGGCATTGAGGAAAATTTTCCCGATAATAAAATTATGTTCATAGTTTTCTCGGGAGAGGAAAAGTCCGCCAATACCTTACCAGGTATGGATTCGAGCTTGTCCAGAGTTCCACCGGTTATTCCGAGACTGCGGCCGGAAATCATGGGGATTTTCACATCACTGCAAGCCGTCAGAACAGCAATGAGGGAGAAAGAAATCTTGTCTCCCACGCCACCCGTGCTGTGCTTGTCAACAACCCTGCCGATCCACTCATCCGGCCACGACAGCGTCGACCCTACGACGAAGAACGAGTCTGGCAGCTTTTCTTTGCTAGTTGGAATAACGCTGAGCGTAACATATAGAGCCATAAATTGGACAAAAGGATGAGGGACATGTCCTTGCATGTTTCCTTCACGTTGCATAAAACGAGCAAGAAACCTACACCAAAGCTCTGGTGACATCCTATTTGATGATGAAAAAAAATAAGGTACGGAAAGTATGCAAATCTGCAGTATCTTTTTGCGTCCTTTCCTTTTATCATTATTATTGAGAACGACTTGTTTGAGTGAGGAGAAAGCCCAGCGGGACCGCACTGAACAATATTGCACGAATCTGAAAGAAACAAATACTCAAACATTGGTATACTTTTTTTTCATTAACTTAAAATTCATAAATATGGTTTTGATACAGTTTAACAGTTGTGAAGCATGTGTTTTTTTTTTTTAGAAACGACTAATTGGAAATGTCTTCCAGCTTACAGGTTTCAGCTCAATCGAGTAAGAAATATAAATACATTGTACAGTATCCACTGAAACAGCGGCACAATGCTTCTCAAGCAAGATGTGTGTGCACCTCAATTTTTCAGAAAAAAAATTAATTCCCGCATAAGAATAACACCCTGATGTTACAAATATAATTTTCTGAACAGTTTATTCCCTGCATGTTTTTCAAATATGACGCACTTCAAATTGAATGAAATAAATCCAGAAGAGATTTCTACTTTGGCACCTCACTTTTAGAGCTTTATGTTTTAGGAAATAAAAAGTGCACGTGCTGGTAGTGGATGATAAACGTCCTCAGACGCAATAAAATAACATTTTAACTGCTCATTTCTTCGCCATTAACATTTTATATGCATAGCTATTCATGGTTCATTCATCTCATTCTACCGATCATCACATTCTCACTTATCGTGCTGGCGGGATTTTTACCTGTAGGAATTTTTCTGGGAGTCCCAGTTATATACGGATGACACACGAAGCCCTTAACGAATGGAAGTTCAATTTAAATGAGTAGCTATTATTCCTCAACTCGTAAATGAACCGCACTACGGACGACTTTAAATTTAAATATTTTCCTACAAATGACAGCGATGATCGCAAAAGACGTAAAAAAAATTATAAAATAATTATCCTTGAAAAATTATAAAGCATTTCAAAGGAAGTTTGATTCTTCCAATTCTCACCAGAATTAATCATGTACTTCGTGAAGTGGGTGGTTTCAGCTTCCGTCAATCCATTGATGTAAATCGCCATCATCATCGCCCCTATAGGCATACAATCGGAAGTAAGTTTGCGCTTCATTAAAAATACAATAATAATTAGAATTTTTTAACGCTGACTGAAATTGGACAAAGTCATGGAGAACCTTCTTTGAAATTATCGTGGGGATTGTTTTGTGGCCCGAAGTTTCAAACATAAAATAATCGGTGCAGCAAGCAAAAAAAAAAAAACTATTATTTCAAATCGCATTACAGTATTTTAAATGAGTTTGAGTATCATTTTTATTTTCAAACGTGTCTCCAAGAACCACATTAAAAAAAGGAATCTACAAAATATCACTGCAGGATCATGAAACATCAGGAGTTTTAAGTGTGACTTACCTAGCTGTGCATCACTCACTTCGCCGATGATTAAACTTTTTATAAATGATCCAATTTCTTCGTTGTTGAGTTCTTCGCCGTCTCTTTTCTTGCGCAATATAGATTTTATTGTCATCATTTTTCAATGACTTATCTGATTCTTGAAAACAATTGAATTGCACACTGATTGTTCTGAAAAAAGAACGTGTCATACCAGCCATCGGAGTGAATCAGATCAGGCTGGTGGTGGAAAAGTTGGTTACAAGAATACAGTAACAGTTAGTAAAATGATATCCAGAGAGGCTTAAACACAAACATTCTGGCGATCCAGACATTTTCTAAACGCATGATCCAATTCCACTTCCGAGCATTTTTGTGCCCTCGGAATCTCTGAAGTTGATCTAAATGTCTACGTGAATTAGGCTTATCACTTTTTGAAACAGCTTTATGCGAATTGAGAAGAATAATCTAAATCATCAATATTTTCGATCTGTTGAAATTTTCAACCACAATAAATCGGCTTGAATCTATCAGCACGCATCGAATCATGTCGGAATGCATTTTTATGAAGCATTTGAGATATTAAATGAAGGTAATGATCATGTTCAGAATTTCAGGATGCTAGAATTCCATTGTTCTAAAAAAAACTTCAACCCAATAATCGAATGAATCTGGACATTACTGGCGATGAACAAAAAAAACTTAATTACAGCATCCCATTCGTTTTCTATTAATATCGTTCCTATCAAGATCAAGTGTTTACTATGAATTAGGCGGCGATTAATTTAATGCGTTGTGCGTTTCTGTCTTTCTGAATAATTTGTTCTATAATCGCGCTAGAATAAACTTCGTATTAATTTCCCGCGAATATTCTGTTTTATTCGAGAACACTAGATTAATTATCATCACCATGAAGAATTACCACTTATTGGTAGACGTGGTAAACAGATTAAATATACAGTACTGGCATGTTTATGAAAAAAGGGAAAAAAGGGAATTAAAAGATTAAATGAAATTAAAAGATTGCAAGCGAGAGAAATGAATCTTTTAATGCAAATATCTTACATCAGCCATTCCATCTGAATATGAGTATCTGTAGCTCGAATATAAAATTTGACCTTGCGAGTGCTGGATCACTTCATCCATCAAGCCTGTTGAATGGAGTTGTGTGTGCTTAAGCTTGTCTAAAAAGATACAACAGCGTCGAATTTCTTCCATTATATGCACATACAAAAATATTGTATATAGAACATTAACACGAAAGGTTTATTATGGTTCAATGTCTTTTAACGTCGCTTGATTGATGAGTCAAATTCTGAATTGCCAAGCTTTTTGATTCAAGGCATGAGATTTTCAGTTTCTTAAAAAGGAATAATTTAACGCAAGTAGACGGCATGATTTAGAATACTCTTCATCAAGAGAAAGATACCCCTTTTATTTCTAACACCCGACTTGACCCGAGGCAATTTTAGTGCATTCTGCAAAGTCTTCCGGAATGCCAACCTGAGGGCCAAGGTCTTGCGGAATGTGTTCATTTGTATCATCTTCTCAAAGCCTTTAAAGATTTCGAGACCTACAGCGGGTATTCTATAGTTTCAAGAAAGGCAATAATGTATCCAGCTAACAAGAGGATTAATTTCTCTATTTCTGTGGATAATCAGAAAATTAATATAATTCAAGGACACTCAATGATAAAGTTGAAATTAGCGTTGCTCAAAGGCACACACGGTAAGTGAGAAAACCTTCTCAGCCCCTTCTCCGTGTTATGCCCTCATCGCATTTTTGGACATTGTCTTCCTGCAAAAAAAACAAGTTTTGCACAGGAACGTCAATAAGATACAGGACTTGCTTCCACGTTAAGCGTGGAGCATGAGGCACTCAAATTCATGGGTAAACTTGCTTTCAATTGATGGCTTCCCTTTTTTTTCGTCGCAAAAATAAAACAGGAAAAAAAAACTGGCTTGAATCACATCACACAACGTAAAGTTCAACTGGACACAGCGCTTGAAACTATGTTGCACACAATGTAAAGAAAGGAAAACTGTCACTTGAGGATGTCTTGAACACGTCCTAAGCGTATTCTGAGGGCCAAGGTCAGAGAATCAAATCGGAAGATCTGTGGTCTTAGCCAGCCACAATTGGTAAGGCTTGAATTCTGGATGAGTTTTGCCTTGTGCATGGGCAGTGCAACTTCAGTGGCGCCAAGCGCTGAGATGAGGAGGGGCCTCACTCTCTGACCGATTCAAACTTGTTGCTATGCAATGACTTAAGATGCCAGGCAAGCCATTGCCCACTCTCAGAATTTTATTGTGATGCAAAATTTTCATTAAATATGATTTCTCATTTAATAAGATTTTTCTGTAACGCCGACAATTATTTACGCTATCAAAGTAAACCTTTTTGTTTTTTACTGGGTAAGCTAAACCTGATGCAATATTTTCTTTTGAATCACAATAAAAGGGGAACCGGAAAAACGTTACCCAAGTTTTTTAATAAAAAGGTCGTGAGTGCTTTGAACCAATGTATAACTTTGAAAAATTCATCTAGTAAAAGTCAACTTGCCATTCCATTTTCTTCCAATTTTACCAAAACAAAGCTGAGATCCAGCTTATCTTCTGGAAAATTGAATGAATCTTCAGTAAATTTCTTAAACTTTTTTCATTGAATGAAAAGTCAAGCTTTACAAACAATTGAGGGATATATATTTCTTCAAGTGAAATGAGAAACAAAGAAGGCGGAAATCGCCTACAAGTGTATTCGAGATTCACCCCCTGATGAAGCTATTTTTTCAACTTTCCGCAGATTTCATTATTAAATTGCCCTTTGTTGAGCAAGGTGAATCATTCCAAAACATGTTTTACACTGAATGGTTTGACGAGCCTCTTGTTCTTTTCACCCTTTTCCAGCTGTAATGACTTTACTGGTGGGTTGATCCACCTCGAATATAATTATTAGAGATGACGTCATCAGTAATGCGTATGCTGTAGCAGCGTAGGTACCCTAACTGAAGTGCAACTGAGCATGAACCAATAAGTGCCAGTCTGAAAATTATCTCTGTCAAAAAGAACTCCACATCTCAAAATATTCAATGATCTCATTGACTGAAATTCTACAGCATATTTTTCGAGTCAAGCACGAAGGTTTTGAGAACGTGTGGATTTTCTACGAAAACAGATAAACATATACCGTGAACAAGTTTCAAGTCTATTTTATTTATAATATTATGAACATTCAGTTTTCTCTTCGTATATCTTGTTGGCAAGGCACCCAGATAAGAGAAAAAAGAATGTTTTGATGGAATGGCGAACGATTGAAAATCACCCAGATTCCTATGCTTCGAGAATCCCAAATCCAGGGTCAGGGGGAAGAAATTCTTGAGTACACAGTATTTCACTTCTATTTCATTGTGCGTCCGTCAAATAATGACCACTATTCAAGACAATGCACTGATTGAAGTAGACTACATTTCGAAGGTTTTTGTGAGTGCGTTTTATAGGAGTTTGGAGGAAGGACATCTGAGTGAGTGGGGTGCAACAACGTTAAAGGTTGCACAAGGTTTGGGACTGGTTTTTTTCCATCTTACTAACTTTGTGAACTCGGCAAGGAGGAACACGTTTGAAAAACTTTTTGTCTGCAACAAAACAATCCTATCGACAGAAAAGCGGTCATACAGATCATGGATTCAATGGTATCCGCGCTAATTTTCCAAAAGTTGTTCAGTAATAATTTTTCCATCCATGCGAATCTTGGAAAAAGTTCTGACCTCTCGTTGCTTGTGTGTCGTGACATACGTAAGTTCACAATTTATTCCAAGTCTTTTTTTTTTTTTTACAAAATAATCCTTGCAATGATCGATAGAACGATTGAATATTAAATATTTGATGAGGTCCAGATAAGGATATACTGTACACAGCTTTTCATTATATTGGGAAAGAAAGCTTCAGCGGCGGATTTTTGTTTTTATGGTCAATCTTAGTGACCTATTCTCTTCAAAGTGCCCTTATAGTGAAGATTAATTTCTTTAATTTCTTGGTTGAAACACGGATTATTGGTACAGTAATTTGCTTTCGCCTCTGCCGGTTCATTGTAATACTAAAAATCACCGTTCTATAGAAACGAAGGTAACCCTGCGTGAGCAAGGCTTTGATTCAAAAATTCACAAACTTTGGCTGCTGAAAGTTTTCTTTATTCTGAATGCAAGGATGATTCATTTGAATCTTCAGTGTAAGAAACCCCTTTTTCAATTATTGCCTTGTCATATCATTTCAAGACCTCCGCAGCATTCAAAATCTATTCTATAGTAGTGTTGCAACACCAGGCAGACATCAGCAAGTGGGATCTGCTCAAACTGGCTCATTTTTTAGGCTTTTACCCCATTTCTTGAGGCTTTCTAAAAGTCCTGACTTCGAAATAGCGTAATACAGTATGCTAAATTTATTTATCCAAATTAGTATCTAGCCATTCATGCTAAATACATTCATGAAGTTATTTAAGGGAACTCTTGACATTTTCAAACAGCTGAGCCTACTTTCTTTCACAAATTGTAAAGGACGTACTATAATTGAAGATTGAGAATCCAAGCTCTGATATTGAGCTGTCTGAAAAATTCTTCAAAATTGTTGCTCATCCCATGCTGGTTTACATACTCTCAGTGAAAACTTCTCCATTTCTCTTCCATGAAATGCTTGTTTATTTATCAACAATCTAAAAAAAACACAATGAGAAACATACATGTATTAAATCTAGAAAATGTTCTGAAATGAATTCGTCACTCATATTTCCCATGCACACTCACAGCAAAAGTGAAAAAAAATTGAATGGGACATCAAGATAATTCTCCTAGGACGTTATTCAGCATATTAAACACGACCGTTCGCACCAGCATCCCTTGAATCCATCTCATCCCGTACGGACAAGTTCCTGTCTCTTGACAGAGTTGTCGATAACGCTGTCAACAAAGGTAAATGAATCAAACAGCTCTGTCTCATCCTTCGGTTTTCTAAAAGCACGAAGAATACGCTGATCTTCAAAAGGTTGACAATTGAAACGAATTCGCTCAGTGGTGCAGAAGAAACATATCATTGCAGCAGTGTATCTGAATTTACGAGCGCCATTTATAATGCTTTTTCTCAATGAAAATTATTTCGATACAGAAAAAAATGTACTGCGTTAATAAAAAGGAAGCATCAAGGAGGCGATAAAA